AAGTAACTAGTATGTTTGCCTCATCAGTGCCTATTGACATCCCATCTTCCTCAGCCCAATCTATAGAACTAAACAGACTCACCTTTGTAGTACCAGACCCTGCCATTCCAGATGCACATGAAGGAAGAGACATAGCAGCTGTATTAGGCAAGCAGCTGGTGGGAGAAAGCTAGACTCTTCATGTTCAAGTTCTCTTTCTAGTCTTATGGGTCAGATTAAGGATTCCTTTTCTCCTGGAGATGACCTACAAAGAGAAGAAGCCTGGAGATTTGAGATCCAGTCAGGAAGAATACACATGAAGAGGAGAGGAGATCTGGAAGAGTCCATCCTCTCCAGTTAAAAAAATATATCCCTTTGGGCTGGGAAGGTGGCTCAGTGGTAGAGTGCTTGCCTCAAATGCATGAGGCCCTTGGTTCGATTCCTCAGCACCACATAAGCAGAAAAAGCCAGAAGTGGCACTGTGGCTCTAGTGGTAGACCGCTAGCCTTGAGCTGAAGAGCTGAGAGACAGCACCCAGGCCCAGAGTTCAAGCCCCACGACCAACAAAAATAAAATACATCCATGTAGGCAAATACTTGATCAGCTGTGCCTTTGCCTTAGTTTTTATTTTTTATGTATTGTGAAAATACTGTATAGAGGGGTTACAATTACATGGTTAGTTTTTATTTTTGTCTGTCTATTGAAGAAACACAAGAAATAACTGCTTCTTTATTAAATGGAAAATTTCTAGTATGAAATAAGCAAATCAACAAAAAGTGAAATATCAGGCAACAAATAATCAGTTTCATTCTCAGAATCCTACAGAAATTGTTCTTGTGTGTTTTTGCCTGTTAGTCTCTAAAAATATTAGTGCTGGGTGTGTATGCCAGCACTTGGGTGAATGAGGCAGTAAGATCATGGTTTGGAGGCCAGTCTAGGCCTCAGAAATCTCCTCTCATAAGACCTGACACGCTACTAATAATAATTAAAATGGTGAGTTTCTCTCGAGTCTGATGTTGTATATTGTGGAAAAAGAACATGAGAGATAAAGACAAATGAACTACTAGATTCTGGTTCCACTGTTTGCTGATTGTATACCCGTGGCACTTAATGTCACCCTTACTACTATGTGAGACAGGCACTAGAGAAGCAGCTTTGCCACAATTCCTCTGCATCGCTTCTCTAAGGCAGTGATGTCCCCTGATCACCCATCCCACCATGCTGAGAACCCAGGCTATGCCTCTTTTTCTTTCTCAACACAGGTTGGAACACGATTGGGACTCTGCTCGTACTCCTATCATTGGCTCCTGTGGCACTCAGGAACAGGCACTGTTAATAGATCTCACAAGCAGCAGCTGCCGAAGGGTAAGAAGAGAAAGATATAGAAAAGGTTCTATGCGTAGAATTAGGCAAAACATACAGAAGCCTAGCCACAGAGCTGTGATGGGAGGGTGCAGAAGAATGGAAGAACCTGGCTGATTTGCAGGTTGACTCTAGAATCTCCATGATGCCTTTCTTGTGCACTGGTGAAATGAGCTTTGCTTAAATGAGGGATTATGGGGGAGGGAAAGGGATATATCCCTCTAGGGTGAAATACTGAAGTCCAAATTTTTCTTTCAGACCCGGAGTGGTGCTGGATGGAAACGAGTCCTGCGTTCACTGTGCCATTCCCGGACCCGAGTGCCAATGCTGGCAGCCCTCTACTTTATAATGGTTCATGTCCTACTCATTCTGTGTTTCACCGGTCATTTATAAACTTAGTTGTCACCGTTTGGACCACCCCTCTCAGAACTTGGAATTCCCTCACATCTAATGTCAGAACTGTCAATTCCAATGGAACAGTCTTCTCAAGTACAGATCATCTTCTCCAACTTTCCATGGAAAGTGCCTGCAAAAACAAGCTGCTGTGAGGATGGGTTCAAGCTTCTACCGACTTGCCCAGGCCCTGAACACTTCTGCTGAATTTGAGAAGCCTCACAGTTACTTTGCTGAGCCCAGCATTTGTTCAGATTTTGCAGGTCCTCATCTTTCATGGTCCTGTAAGGTATTGACACATGTTTCTACCAAGCCAAGAGGATGGTTCCAATAAATCAACAGTCTGAAGTTCAGTATCATTTTGATTAATAACTTTCTGTGCCTCACTACTTACTTTTCTCCTGCTCCGGGAGGAAGGTAAACAGTTGTGGGGAATGAACACATCACCTCATAGGACATGTGTCCAGGTTTCTTTCAAAGGATGGGAACTGGATCTCTTTGGGGGGTTAACTTTTGGACCACGGGGAAGGGTAGAATCTTCCTTTCTGTTCTGAATACCCCAGAGTGTTTTTGGTTTTGGACAGTGAAGAAGGACACCATTGGCATATGCCCTTGACCACAGGTAGACTAAGTTATTAAGTGGCTGGTGCCTGTCCTGTCACTGAAAAGACAGGAAGAACCAGCTGTGGACTGTGTTAGATTCATGTCATTCCTGTTATCTGGGTATACCTCCATATGTATTCTGAGTCAGTGTCAGAAGCCAGCAGGAGCCGGTCCAAGTTGGGGTATTGACCCTCAGCTGGAGTCTGATCTAATGACCACACTGCAACTCCTGGCCTCAGGAAGTACTGAAGCTACTATGCTGTTGGCAGTAGTTTATTCTGGCTTCTCACCCCATAGTTACTACCCTCTCTGGGAACAGAGGGCTGAGCAAATGGACAAAAATAGAGAAAACAAATCGAGACCTGAGAACAAGAGCCAGGAGTGAATTCCACTGTGCCTATTTTCCATTTCCTCCCCTTGCTAGTTGGATGTTTTTTCATTACACCACCTAAAGAAGAGGGAGGACCGGTGGGCTAACTGATCTGCTCTAAGTCTTTGGTTTGTGGTGATTAAGTCTGGGTTACAGTAACTTTCTGAACTACTGTAAAATAATAAAACTATTTTCAGAGTAATAAATTGGGTGTATAAATTGTATAGGTGTGTGATTTTTATGTGTGCACAGGTACACAAGCAAGAGAAGACAAGGGTTGGGGTAGGAGTAGCTGTGAGTATCCTAGCCTTAACTACTGGACCCCACGGGGCTAAAGCATAGTGAAGAAATTCTATTCTAAGGCTGAATTGGTCTTGGGGTACAAAATGAATGCAGGCTCATATGTAGTCCTGGGAGAACTACAGAAATATTAGGCCCTTAGAGATCCCTTCAGGTAGAAACAGGTTAAGGGAAATTTAAAACCACATAGATTGGGTAAGCATGTTTTTATGTTAAAATGCTACTTGGGAAAAGATAGCCCACATTCTATAGGCACATGAAGTGGATTATTGAACCCAACCAATGTGGTTTCAAGCCTGCTCTTCATACTACCCCTTACTATCTCAAGTTAAATTAACTTGGGACACTTGCAAAGGAGAAATATTTCCTTGATGTCATCTCTAAGTTGTGTGGTTTCTCCAGGGGACTGCCTTCCTGGATGGTATGTCACAGTATCCAGTCTAACAATTCCAGTTTTGACACTGTTAGGATTCCAAGTGAGCTAAAAGATACTTTTTCCTTTCTGTAAATTCATTGTTCTTTAAAATGGCTTTTATAATGTTATAAGTAGATCATGAAAAGAGAACAGATAAACTGCTCCAGGTACAGCATCCTTGGATTTGGAAGTGATCTTAGAAGCTTTCTATCCTAATGTAAAAATGTTCTGTATGGTGGGCTGATTTCACCCAGTTCTGCTTGAACCTCTTGAGCAAATCAGATCAAAACTCTACAGGCAGTCAAGATAAGGAGAAACTGAGTCAGATCCAGTAACAAACATCCCTCCTTCCAAAATAAATTATTAGCTAAAACAACAAAAGATTATTTTTCAAAGATGCCAAGTCCCTCATGTCATAATTGGAGCTTTTACTTGTACTGATTATTTGTCACTTAAGCCCTCAGTCTGCCAGTGGAGCCACTGGAGAATTTTAGGGAGGTGAGTCAGCATCACACAGTTTCCCATGGAAGGTCATGAAGGAGAGGGATGTATTTCACTGGCCAAAACAAATCACCCAAGCAAGTTAAAGCTGGAAGGGAAGGGCAGCAAATTTTTTTTTAGATGTAAAATATTTGTAAATGGTGATCTTCTAAATCTGTGTCCACAAATTCCAAAACCCATAACACTCTGTATACTTAAAAAAAATCAATTTTTGCCAACATTAGATACTATTATACAGAACAGAAACAAAACCTGGGAGGACAAATACTGGTAGGATGTCAAAATTCGTACAAGAGAAGAAAAATATCCAAGAAACAAATTTCATACAGGTATTTATCAAGAGAAAAATATATACAACTGATTTATTCTGTAAGATAAAAATACATCATGCCATATACATTACAGGTTCTGAACTGCATCACTGGCTGTACCGACAGCTCACAGCAAATCTTAACCAGCAGTTTATTAGACACCACAAAGAACTACTATCCGCTGATAACATCTGGTTCTTTCATCATTCTTCTATCTGGAACCAAATCTTTCTACCAGTGAACTCATGGCTCCTAAGCAATTTAGGAAACTTTCTCCATGCTTGCCCCTCATGAGTTATTCTTCCCCTCATTCAACTGATCAGTATGTATATTGTCACCAACCATATGTAACCCTCACTTGGAATGTACAAGGGTTTGTTTTTAAGGCTTACTTCTCAAGGTTATAGGATTCCGTTTTCCCATAAAGCCTTTTCTTGTTTACTATAGCCCATAGGAACAGTTCTAACTTCATTATCACAAATACAACTACTCACCTCATCTGTTTGGGATTTTTGAGTCCTACTCCAGAACAATAGCTAGGGTGTTTTCTGGATGGATGTTTGTTGTTCTGACAAAATTACAAACAAAGCTGAGATTCCCCTAAGACATAAAATCTTGCAAAAGACTAAAGCCAAATACATTTAACTCTTCTGCCTGAAGCAGAAGGAACTGACTCAAACTTCAGGAAGTAATTGTGAGGACAGGGTGGCAGGAAATGACAGAAAACCTGAATACGGAACTGAAGCAGCTGTTTGGAGTTTTTTTGCTCTCAAGTAGCAGCAGCCAGAAAGAGGGTACTGGGTGTGGACGTGAAGAGCTAAGAACTTCAAACCAACACTCAACAGCTCACACTACCAGAGGTGAGTACTCCGGAGGGGCAAAATGGAACACAGGATAAGAATAGAAGAGGAACCTAGCTTGTACTTGGTCCTGGAGGGAAAAGGTCATTGCTAGTAGGCTTTTATCTCTTGATGCTCAAAAGGCCTGGATTCAGTGGTTGTGAAATGACTTCAGGGATGGAAAGAGAGGGGAAGATCCTGAACCCTGATTTTACAAGTAAGCAGTTCTCTCAAGAATCAGCCCAGCAACACATAACCTGTTTTTTTCTGATAATCCACACAGGCCACTAAGAGCTGCTGCTCCTAGGCACTGAGGTGGAAGGAACCCTATAGCGGATGCAGGCAAAGACTTCATTTGACAGTCTAACAGGGAGACAGCCCACAGAGTAAATGTCACAGCCGGAAGCAGCCACAAATGAACATGAGTGCTGAGAACCCAATGCTGATGGGGATCAATGCAGCCATGATTGTTTAGCTGGGGCTATTTTCTGTGACTGCAATTACAGATCTCAGAGTACGATCAATAAAACAGACTATGGGCTAGTTAGGTTAACCACATAACATTGAAATCAAAGAAGAGGTGATTTGCCAAATTGTTTCAGTAAAGATTTGTGAACTGGCCACTCACAAAGGAGTACCTACTCTGCCACTTCCCTTAGTGTGACTCCACAGAGTCTTAGTAAGGAACAGAGTTTGGTGGCCATGGGTTTTTTGACTCCCAGTTTGTGTACTATACTGATGCTGTAAATCAGCCTCACCACAAGCCCTTGAATGTGCCCAGAACCATGCCTCATAGATTATTCTCTAGCTTTTCACCTCTGATTAGCAAGAACTGCCTTCCTGATTGCAAGTCAGTAGGAAAAGAATACTAAACTGTCTCTGTGTCAGAAAACTTTCTGTGATTATTTTTTAATGAGTGAAGGTGAAAGGTTGGTGGGAGAGTCAGGTTTTGTAACTCAAGGAAGAATCATGAGGCCCCTGAGCCTCGTCGCTTCCTTATAGCTTGTGAATATATCTTAGACTTCTCCTTTCTGATTTTCTGTGTAAAGTCCTTTTGCTCAGGAGCCAGGGCAGGACAGATAGAGGGGCTGTAAAGATAAGGACTACAAGTCTGCGTACCTGTCTCAATATCCCCCCCATAGCTGCTGTTCAGCATGAAAGTCAGAGATGCTCTCTTTAGTGACTTAGTCCACTGGGTAAACTCATTCAACACTTTGCCAGTTTTCCTTTGGCACCTCTTTAGCCAGTCTACCTTGAATTTCCTCTGCGAGAGTTTTCAAGGAATTATTCAAAAGGTAAAGAGAAGAATGGCATTTCCAAGAAATATTTCCAAGAAATAGAAACTGGAGACTTAGTAGTGACAGGAAAGCCCAAGGAGTGGTTGTAAAAGGGCCCCTTTGGGAAAGAGGAACCTGGGAAAAGACTCCTGTGGGGGAAAAGTGGCCAGGGATCACGAAATCCAGTGGCCACCAGGCAGATGAGCACTGGTCCATTATTACCTTCTCACACCAGAATCCAAGAGCCTACAGAAGCAGAGCAACTGGGAAGCTCTTCCTCATACACATTAACACACATGCCCCAGCAGAATAAAAGCTTGGCATCTTCAAACTAGTTCTCCAACTATCCCCTTAACATTTATTTTGTTGATAAAAGTCAAATACTTCATCGTGTAAAAAAATAGGGATTATGCCATTTTTGACCACATCTTCATGAGAAATATAACAACTGCTTTTAAGATAGGAGTGATAAATGACTTCTCAGTCAATAGTGCTTTCTCATGCATTGCTGATAAAGGAATTTCAGCAAATTGTCCCTGCTGACTACCCATAGCTGTCAGAGATCAGCTTTAGAGTGGGTTGTGAGAGTTGAAAGAATTCTGAATATAATTAAGCAGATACTAGGCAAGAGAGAGATGTTCACTTTGCCAGGAACTAGGCCGATGTATGTTTGGCAGCTCTGAAAATATTCCCATGTAGTCATATGAGTTAAATATCAGCATAATCTATAGCTGTTATAGTACTTCTCACTGTTTGCCACCCAAAAGACATCACATGTCTAGCCTCTGGACACAAGTGAATGTTGCCAGCAGTTTTCTCATCCAAGTCATTTACTATTACCTCAACTCATGAGCACTTCTCTCCAGACTCAGAAAACCAGAGACCACATTCATTTTTCTTAAGTAAACCCCTCTTCTAACTGAGCAGAATTAAAAAATTTAAACCTATTTGCTCTGTCTCAGCTCCCTTTTCTAAGGAAAAAATGTCAATAAACTTTGGACTACTCTAACATCCATTTCCACTTTCTTATTTTCCCATTTCTTGTTTGTTTTTGGTCTCCAACAATTTCCAATTCCTGTCGTTCTCAGATGTGGAAGTCTGTAGTGGGGCATGATGTATCTGTTTCCATGGAGGCCCAGGGTGATGACTGGGACACAGACCCTGACTTTGTGGTGAGTATGGAAGTAACTGTGCTTAGACAAACAAGAGGGTACATGGGAAGGGCATCTGTGCCTCTCTGTGACTGGTTAGAGGGCTCAGAAAAGGACCATTTGGACCTGAGTTAGTCATCACACAAGGATGGATGGGCAGTCATGAGTGGGGTATGCATGAGAGCTGGTGTTCAAGACCCAGGGGTGGAGGGAACAGGGGTAGATATGCTTGACAGTATGACTGAGAATGCTGAACTATGCAGATTATGCTGAAGTTGAGAAGCAGGTAAACCTGGATCTCCTCTAGTCTCTGATCCAGGCTTGGGCTAGACATGTATGATATAAGTGGGTTGAGATGTTGCAGACCTGAAGGGGTAAGAGGAAAGGATGCAGAGTAGTGATAGCGATATGTACAGAGATCATCTGTATAATTTTCATCTGGGTTTGGATGGAGTAAACATCTATGACTGAGAGGCATTTAATGCAGGGGACAGGAAGAACATGCCTGTCAATTGTGTGACTCCACTCGGTGTGGCATATTTCTTGCCAACACATTGTTGAATGATGTTTGGGTTTTTTTTTTTTTTTTCAGAATGACATCTCAGAGAAGGAGCAACGATGGGGAGCCAAGACCATTGAAGGTTCTGGACATACAGAGCACATCAAGTAAGTCCCAAAAGGACTGATAGAAGAGAGTGGGTTAAAAGCCAAAGACAACTCAGGGACTCAGGAGTATGTGGAAAGAAAAGGAGGGAATGCTCCTATCTGTGCATCTTTGTGTTTGTTTCTAGATTTTGTGTCTCTAAGTGTGTTATCATTCATTTCCATTTTATATCTATCATCTTATCTCCTATTATTTTTATATCTGACAACTCTATTTCCTCAGGGCAATCTGTTGTATTACCTTCTTCCCTTCCTTTAGTCAGGGAAGTAGGATTCAGATAGGAAGTGGTTGAGATAATGAGTTCTCTCTCTCTCTCTCTCTCTCTCTCTCTCTCTCTCTCTCTCTCTCTCTCTCTCTCTCTCTCGCTACCTACCTACAATTTATCAATCATCTATATAGCTGTCATTCATATGTCTCTTCACATAAATATAAACATGTATTTATAAAGTAGGATAACTTCAGATGGACTCATATAAATGCTGTAAATTTTTCTTGGCTTTTAAATTTTCCTTTCAAACTTCTTGACAGAAGTTTGAAGCTATTATTATTAAGAAGAAGAAATGTGCAATTTGAACATTTTATTAGTTAAAATATTTTAGAGAGTCAGGCATTGGTGGCTCATCTCTGAAATCCTAGCTGTTAAAGAGGCTGAGACCTGAGGATCATGGTTTGAAGGGTTTGAAATCAGACTGGACATAAAAGTCCTTAAGTCTCCATCTCTGAAACATCCAGCAAAAACCAGACTGGAGCCATGTCTTAAATGGCAGATCACCATCTGAGTAAACAAACTTAGCAAGATTATGGCTCAGTATTCATTTTGTCAGAAACCATCTCTACCTGATACCAGGGGCTTCTGTGGGATATATTGTATATTTGAATCTCAAGATCTCGTTCTCTCTTCTCTGGATTATTGAGGATCACCTAATCTTTGCTTTGGGTAGTATCAGAATGTCAAATACTCATAACACAGTAAATGATGTAGAACTAGAGAAAAACAATCAAACTAAAGTATCAATCACTCCACATAATGGCAAAATCAGTGCAGCTTTATCTGATTTTGTTGTTGTTGTTGATGTTGTTGTTGCCTGTATTGGGGTTTGAACTCAGGGCCTCATGCTTTTGCTTAGATTATTCACTCAGAGCTAGCACTCTGCCACTTGAGCCACACCTCCAGTTCTTTTTTTCGGGGGGAGGTCCAGTCGTGGTGCCTGAACTCTGAGCCTGGGCGCTGTCCCTCAGCTCTTAGCTCAAGGCTAGCACTCTACCACTTGAGCCACAGTGCCACTTCCAGCTTTTTTCTTTTTGCTTATGTGGTGCTGAGGAATTGAACCCAGGGCCTGAGGCCTGCAAGGCAAGCGCTCTACCACTGCGCCACCTTCCCAGCCCCATACACCTGCAGTTCTTTAACATAGTTTTTTTTTTAAGTTCCGTTTTAATCCAACACATAGTGATGCACACTCTAACAGCAATGACTTAGCCTCTTTTTCATCTGGATTTTAAGAAGTTTCAGTGTATGGCCACCTTGCACAAATGGTGAAATAAGAAAATATGAAACATGTATATGAAGATTGAAGATATTCAGTACTGTGCATGGTTGTTTAATCAGACATAAACAACTTGAATGACATAACTAGATCTGGAATCATTGTAATAAGGGGGAAAAAAGACAAGATAAAAAGAAAAAGAACATGATCTTTCAGAAAACTTGGTGGTTTTGTTGTTGTTTTCTTTCATTTTTAATTTTTTAAGATTGGGTCTCACTATGTGGCTCAGGATGGCTTTGAACTAGAGAGCCTCCTGACTCAGTATCCCAAGTGGTATAATTAATTACAGGCTTGCACCACTACATCCAAGTCACAAAACGTCTTTAATGCTGCTTCCCCTGAGGGCTCATAGGTCTGATACAAGTCAAAAACCCTTTGCTTTACTGAGTCAAAACCACTTATCTCTAACCTCCTAGGAGCCATTCAGATGAGGATATGCTCTTTCTTTCTACCTTTTCCTCTCAGTGCTGTCTTTTGCATGTTTAGTAGAGGTTGAACATTTTAAGGAAGACTTCTAAAAATTCCTGCCATGAGAAAATGGAAAGGGCTTGAGTTTGTATATCAGACAGATTTAGATTTAGTTCACAGATTGGCCACTACTAGCTATGTGAACTTAGTTCCATACAACCTCTTTACATCTCAGCTTATTTATCAATGGGGATAACAGCCACCCTGTAGATTTAGATTTATGTTTAAAATTCAATAGAATAGCATATGTCACTGTCTCCTGGTACACATCTCCTGATTCTATTATTAATAGAAAAAGTCTTCTACTAACAGGCTAGTTTTATTAGTTATCCTTTCTAAAAACCAAAACCAAAAACAAAAACCATGTCACAGCCTTCCTTCTTCCCAGTGATGTTTACCCAAATGACTGTGTTGCACAACTCCATATATGCATCACTTTGGTGTCCCCTGCTCTTGTAATGTGGCAGCCCTGCCTATATTCTTGATAATTGAACTGGATCTTTATCCAGTAAAATAAATGTTGGAGATACTTCCCCAAAAGCTTATTGCTTCCCATTTTCCATGACACCAAAGGGTAAAAACCCACCATCTACTGGTTACAGACCAGGTGACTTTGACAGTCTCATCCCCTCTGGTCCTCATTGTTTCCATCTGGATCAAAAAGCTGTTCAGCGGATGTTCTAGTGTTACATCTCTTATCCTCTGGGTTCTCTCTAGCTAGGGCAGATTAAGGTACCATAGCTTTCATAGGGAATCACTAAGGCCCTGGCAGCAGTGGTGGAAGCTAGAGAAGAGCTGCTGAGCCGAGTTGACTCAAACCAGAAAATGAAGTGACTATGGTTCTCACTAGCCTGACTAGTCTCATTACCTTTTCCACAGCATGGTGGTGCTTTGTAGATTTGTCATAAATAAATGCAATGTGGGAGTGGCTTCCTAACTTAGTAAAGAGCTGAATTGATCTTACCCATCTCCCGTCAATTATAGAAAGACATTGACTGTCAAGAGCTGGGGCCTTCTCGTTCTTCTCTCCTTCCCTACTCCTGCCTACTCATTCTTCTTGGTCTCCTCTCCCTCGACTAATTAAGATTCCTTTCATGATTCTCACAGTGTTTCTTAAGTGGTTTGTGGGGAAGGACCAGGTTTTTGGGGTCATTTTCAAACCTATCACAGACTAATACTTTTGTAAAATTGAATTGCTGGAAAATACATTTTAACCATATATAGAAAAGTCTGTAAATATGTACTCTCAATTTTTTCTCAGCTTTTATTCTTATTTGATCTGCAAAAAGAAACAAAGCAGCTTATGGAGTGTGCTTTTCTTCCACTGCAGTACTGGCAGGTGAACTCAAGGTCTTGTCCCTCCCGGACAACAGCTCTACCACTTGCACCATGCCCTAGGCCTTTCATTTTTCAGATAGAGTCACACTTTTTTCAGATAGAGCTAATTCTGCCTAGACTGGTCTTAGACTGAGCTCCTCTCAAATCTCCACTTCCCAAATAGCTGGAATTATATACATGAGCCACCAAGCCTGTTCCTAAGGACTGTACTTAGAACAGCACTGTAGTGGATGAAATCTGGCTGGCCTTTTGGTTAGGTTCTCGATGAGTGATAATCATACAGATAATCATCTGTATCCGTCATGGTGGCCCTACCCTATTTTCTTTTTTTTTTTACCCAGCAGAATTAATTTTTTAAATTTATGCTTATTTTAAACAGTTTAAGCAAATTTATATATTATGTTAAAATAAATAAGATGAAAAATTCATACATATTCCTACCCCCTGTGGAAATCAGTACTAAAATTTATAGTGTATCTTTTGAGACCTCCTTTTTTTTTCTTCTTTTTTTCTCGGTTGTGGGACTTGAACTCTGGGCTGGGCCTGGGCACTGTCCCTCAGCTCTTCAGCTCAATGCTAGCGCTCTACCACTTGATCCACAGTGCTACTTCCAGCTTTTTTTTTTTTTTTTCTGTTTATGTGGTGCTGAGGAATCGAATCCAGGGCTTCATGCATGTTAGGCAAGCACTTTACCACTGAGCCACCTTCCCAGCCATTGAGACCTTTTTTTTTTCCCCCATCCCTTCCCCTTTCCCCCTTCCCCTTCTTTCTCTTCCCCTTCCCGTTCCTTCTTTTTTTAAAAAAATTTTTTATTGTAAAGATACTATACAGAGGGTTACAGTTACATGAGCAAGATAATGAGTATACTTCCTATTGAGCATTGTTACCCCCTCCATTGTTTTCCGCCTACCATCCCTTCCCTCCCTACCTTCTCCGAGGTTCTTTTTTTTTTTTAAATTGTGATTAAGTGATTACATAATTTCCCAAATTTCACAGTATTGTGGACTAATGATGCTCATTTAAAGTCACAAGTTCATTCTAACTTTCCTGGAGCAAATTCTCTATCACAGTCCATAATATATAACGGTGTACACATATACACCATACATGTGATCAGCAGCATGGGGATATTTAGTAGTGGTTCGACCAGATGAGTGGGAGTTCTTTGTTTCTTAAGTCCTGTTAATTTTGTCGTATCACCTAACATTTTGGATTTAGCATCCACTTATCAGGGAGACCATGTACTGTTTGTCTCTTTGCTCTTGGCTTACCTCGCTCAACATGATTCCTTCTAGCTCCATCCATTTCCCTGCAAATGCCATTATTTTGTCATTTCTAATGGTTGCATAATATTCCATTGTGTATAGATACCACAATTTTTGGATCCATTCATCTGTGGTGGGGCATCTGGGTTGTTTCCATATCCTAGCTATTGTGAACAGTGCTGCAATAAACATGGAGGTGCACGTGTCCTTGTATTCTGGTTCCTGTTGTTCAGGGTAGATGCCTAGAAGTGGTATGACTGGGTCGTAAGGGAGGTCAATCTTTAGCTTTCTAAGGACCCTCCAGACTGCTTTCCAAAGTGGTTGTATAAGTGTACATTCCCACCAGCAGTGTAATAGGGTTCCTCTTTCTCTACAACCCCTCCAGCATTTGTCGTTGGCTGATTGGTGGATGTGTAGGACATTTTGACTGGCCTACCCTATTTTCTTATACCCTGATATTTAACACCAAGTAGAAGAAAGTGACAAGTGAAAGTGACAAGTGACAAGTAGAATTCTGGAGATCTAGGAACTGGTCCCAGCTCAGATATATATGTAATTATATGGACTCAGAGAATTGAAGAAGAATTTCACCACTCTATATTGCTGTGTTACTAGAAATAATAGAACCAACTCTATTGGTAGAGCTATGGCTATAACACAAGAATAAAAGTGAACATTTACTGAGCTATTACATGTCATGCAATTATCCCCGCATCACAGATGATGTGATAATCTTGATTTTACAGGAAATTGAACAGATGCCCATTTTTGATAGCCATCTGTCCCAGGACATACAAGTAATAATTTGAATTCAGCTCACATTGACTCTATGAGTTGAGTCTTTAACCATTGTATCATATTGCTTCTGTTTAAATAAACATAATACTTACACTCTCTTGCTAAAATGAAATGCAAATATTTTCATAAATTAAGATATTAACTATTCCTAAAGCTGCTGTTCTGTTTTAAACAGTCATAGGGTAGCATTAATAACACACTATCCCTATATTCATAAGCAACAACCTCTATAGAAGTATGTAACTCTTATCTTTCATTTAATATGTATTGTCTTATTTTAAAAGATCAATTTTTTCACCGGGTACCGGTGGCTCATGCCTGTAATCCTAGCTACTCAGGAGGCTGAGATCTAAGGATCACTGTTCAAAGCCAGCCTGGGTAGAAACTGGAAATGGTACTGTGGCTCAAGTGGTACACTCACCTTGAGCTGAAGAGCACAGGGACAGCACTCAAGCCCAGAGTTCAAGCCCCACAACTGACAAAAAATAAATACAATTTTTTTGGGGGGGAGTCCGGTCGTGGGGCCTGAACTCTGGGCCTGGGCACTGTCCCTCAGCTCTTCAGCTCAAGGCTAGCACTCTACCACTTGAGCCACAGCACCACTTCCGGCTTTTTTTCTTTTTGCTTATGTGGTGCTGAGGAATCGAACCCAGGGCCTCATGCATGCAAGGCAAGCGTTCTACCACTGAGCCATCTTCTTGAAAGTATAATCACTATATGTAAAAAAAATTGTAAGTAAAATATAATGAATAATAATACATATATGTAGCCAGCAACACAATTAAGATATAGAATGTTAGCTGGGCACTTTTGGTTCATACCTGTAATCCTCATTATTCAGGAAGCTGAGATCTGAGGATCCAAGTTCAAAGCCAGCCTGGGTAGGAAAGGCCATGAGAGTCTCATTTCCAATTAAAAGCTGGAAATGGAGCTGTGGCTCAAAGTAGTATAGCACTGTCCTTGAGCACTGAAGCTGGAGGATAGCAGCCAGGCCCTGAATGCAAGCTCTAGCACGCATATGTGCATGCACACATGCATGCACACGCGCGCGCGCACACACACACAACCATACAGAATATTTCCATTGCCACACAAAGTCTCCTGTACCTCTTTGTAGTCAACAGCCTCATTCCACCCTAGCACATAAAAGCACTGATCTTTTTGTCAGTGCCATTGTTATGGATACACTTTAGTTTATACAATAAGGGCCTTATAGTCAGAGCAACTCACTTTTGTGCTTTTAAGTTGTAATAAAACCTCAACACTCTGTCCTCCCTCTCAGTCCATCTTTGAGGGTCCTGATTTTGTTTGGTCCCCATAAATTGTATTCCTTTATCAAAAGCTTAAACCAGAACATTTGAGTTTGTGTGTTGGTTTCTTAGATATGACACATACCACACTGATACCACATTGTGACTTTTGCTTTATCTCTTTCTTCCATCTGAACACTACCTGCATACCCTTTGTATCCTCAGAACCAACATTGCCACACACTCAGAAGCTGTTTAATTTTAAAATAAAGGAACAATGTATTAAGATTGATTCCAAATTGATTCCAAACTGTATCCTAAACGAGTTGATTAAAGTTGGTTTTCTTTGGCTACAACATTTTCATTGAAATAATATCATTCATTAGCATAATCCTGTGACTAGCTCTCTAGTGTCATCCATTCGGTACACATTCCTGAATAACATTTTTCTAAATCTTTTTAAAAGCTTCTTTCAATTTTAATATAGTTGTGATCCTTTTAACTAAATGCTGTAGCCTTTCCTTATTTGAAAGGAGAATTTCTCTCCAGTTTCTTCATTCTGCATCTGAGCACTACAGTTGGGAAACAATAGATAGACATTTGTGTGTTCTTGGAACCAGTCACTTTTGTCACATAGACACTTCTAAAGCGTTGATGTTGTGAACTAGCAACACAGAATCTCTGCTTTTATGGCTGCCCCAGGGTTCACAGGAAGCATGGGAACAGAGGGTTCTTCCAGCACTTAGATTAATTCCACCTGGTTCATAGCCAGCTTTCTAAAATTAACTGTGGCTAAAGCAGAGAAGGCTTTTTTTAAAAAAAGACTTTCAGCTGGGTGCCCGTGGCTCCCGCCTGTAATCCTAGCTATTCAGTAGGCTGAGATCTGAGGATCGCAGTTCAAAGCTAGCCTGGGCAGAAAAGTCCCTGTGAGACTCTTATCTCCAATAAATCACTCAAAAACTGGAAGTGGCACTGTGGTAGAGTGCTAGCCTTGAGCTAAAGAGCTAAGGGACAGCGCATAGGCCCTGAGTTCAAGCACCCCCCCCTCAAATAGCAAGAAATAGGGCTGGAGGTATAGCTCAAGTCATACAATACCAGCCCAGTAAGTACAAGGCTCTGAGTTCAAACAGTACTAATTAATTAATTAACTAATTAATTAAAAGAAGCAAGTACAACAGGGAGAGGATGCCCATTTGGCCTCCTTTGGTATTGCTTACCTTAGTGATAGGGTGTCCAAACCAAAGTTATCTGAACCTTAAATTACTATAACAAAAGTAGTAGAGCACCACCCTTGAGCAGATTTCAGGGACAGCACCCAGGCCTTGAGTTCAAGCCCCAGGACTTTCTCTAAGGAATTATCAGTCTTGGGGGGCAGGGGGTCAGAGAATGTTAATGATTGACAAAAAAAGTACACAAAATATTAATGAGTCAATTTCCGAGTATTATTTTTTATAAGCACCACTTTTAATGACTTCCAATATGTTGTTAAAAGGTAACTTTTCAACTTTCTTTTTTCCAATTATTGGTCATATAGATTGCTTCTTGGGTTTTTCTTTTTGCTGTTATGTACAATGTTTCAGTGACTCATTAGACATTAAACTTTTCCATATCTAAAATTATTTCCCTGGGATATACTCCTATGACCAGAGTAAGTGGGTCTAAGAGCATAAGAATAGTTTTAAGCTTTATGAGTCAGATGACCTATAGATAGAAAGTCGATCCATTCGGAAAGGAAGATAATGTCTCAGTTATTACAATGTAGGTATCACTGAGAACATAAAGAGTTAAAGACCAGAAGATTATTTTCATGTGCAAAATGACAAAGTAAAGGAAGTAATATTGGCTTGTGGAGAACTAAAATCAGGTTATAGAATACAAGATCCTATTTGCTTATTACAGCATGATACTGTATGCACCATCACTACCACTGGTACATTTTGGAGACTCAACTTGCTGAAAATAAGCAAACAGACTTCAGAATTTCCAGTTTTGGGGGAGAGTGGTTTCATTGACCTTCCTGTGCTAGGTGAATCTCAGTATATGGTTTCTTCTAGCATCCATCAGTTGAGAAGCAAAGTATCAGAGGAGCATGATGTTCTCAAGAAGAAAGAGATGGAATCTGGGCCCAAAGCATCTCATGGTTATGGAGGTCGGTTTGGAGTGGAAAAAGACAGAATGGATAAGGTGAGTAGAAAGAAAGAAATTAATCAATCAGTTAATTAATTAAGTCATACTGATTTTGTGGTGTAAAACTTGTTCAATGTACAGTCTTGGTTTTAAATCAGGCTGTCCACATGTTCTTTGTATCAGTTTTTTCTGCAGTAAAAACATAAGACACAGATGGAAGAAAACAGAGTCAAGAAAACAAACCGGGCTCACGGCAGCTCCCACACATGGTTCCTATAGTAAGGAAACAGGAGCCCCCAAGTGGAGAAAGAAAAAATAAATTTTATACTCATTAGAGACTTTAAGATATTTGTATATATGTGTGCATATAGTATATATTATATATGTATATTATATGTGCATATATAAAATGTTATAGGTATGGCTGTTATATACTATATGTTGTAGAAAAGCTTAGAATTCACTTCTGACCTTAGATATCTATACAGGAACAAAGATCTAGGACTAAAACATCTGGCTGATTTAGTGGGGGAAAAAATCACTTCCAATCATGGAATCCACCAATTCCCTTGAATCTCTTGCTAATATAGGGCCCACCCCCTGTTGTATTGATAATCCATGCCCCACTTTGAACTCTCCTTTAGTTTCTGCTCTGTCTGGCTACCTTATTTCTACCCTCTGGCTCCCAGTGCATTTCAAATTCAGCAATGTGGAAGGTTCCAGCAAGCACTATTGCTCTCTCCTACCACATGCTCCTTGGCAACATCTTGTGAGGCTATAGACTTGACAGAGAATGGAAGATCTTGTAGTTTGACATTCCATTCCACCTCTGCATCTTTTTTTTTTTTGGGCAAGGTGATTGTTAACTTTTGTTCATCCCAATCCTGCTTTGCCTCAGAGTGCTGTGGGCCACGAGTATGTTGCTGAGGTGGAGAAACATTCTTCTCAAACTGATGCTGCCAAAGGCTTTGGGGGCAAATATGGAGTTGAGAGGGACAGAGCAGACAAGGTAAGTGGCAACGTTCTTCCCATACCATTCTCCTAAGTCCTGTGGGACTTACTTTAACAACCTCACCCCAGAATGTAAGCCCAGGCTCCTTGATACCCAAGGAAGACTGGGAAATGGCTGCTATTAGAACATGCTGTTTCACCAGGGGAGTTTGCTTGACCTCCACAGTAAGTTTCTCTGTGCCAGTACGCGAGGCATGCTGAACTGAGCTCTAAGGCATTCATGCAAGGAGTACAAGGACTGGGATATAGTGGCCAGTATGTGGAAAGCCTTGGGTTTATCAGGACTGAAATTAACTCATTAATGAGTTAATTCTACACAATAATTTTCAAGCCACTGTGTTTATTTTTTTTTGATGTTGGTGTTGATACTGGGGCTTGAACTCTGGGCCTGGGCACTGTCTGTTAACTTTTTTCTCTGAAGGCTAACGCTCTTCTACTTGAGCCACTGCTCTACTTCCAACTTGTTGCTGGTTAATTGGAAATGAGAGTCTCACAGATTATCCTGCCCCAGCTGGCTTCAAATCTCGATTCTTAGCTCTCAACCCCCTCAGTAGCTAAGATCACAGGCACCACTGGTTTTTATTATAACTTTTTGGACGAAGAGCTTAGAGTGATTTTCCCCAAAGCTCCCAGTGCACATTTATGAGGTTTTAGCCTAACATTGAAACTTCATAAGTGTCTATGCCTTTTCTCAGGAAAACATCATTTTAAATGTCATCACCATGGCAACAAAGTCACGTAAAACAATTAATTGAGTTACAATGTTTACTGAAGGTGAATGTTTCTTTTCACAGAAGGTAACAACAATCTCTTGTTATAAAGATTCCTTTGTATAAGAGCAGTTTTGCTTTCATGCTAATTTCCTAAGTATAAATTCAATCACCTAAATGGGTGTTATGTAAATCAAGAAACAATGCACAGTAATTATCTCTTAAGATGTAAAACTTCCACTTGGCTTAGAAACCCACAGTTCCTTAGATGAGTGAGTCTCTAGCTCCCAGGTAGAAGCAGGTCTCTAACCAATTATCTGATCTTTAGATAGGAGAAGCTGGATTCTCCTTTTCACTCCTGTCCCACCCAAATCTTCACCTTTGTGCCTTCACTGCTGACTAACGAAATCAAAGCATCACAACACAAACTAGGAAGGAAGTAATTAGTTTATGTGGCACTTTTCTACCTGTTATCTTGTTTCAATTTTGTGAGAACTATCTGGGAAGAAAAGCACTAATTCAGTGAGTGACTTAGTACTTTGTTCATTTCATCATTTCTCTTATTTCACAGTTAGACAGGAAAGGCAACTGTGCCTTTTTTCACCTTATATTTGAAGAGACCAGTACTCAGTAATGTTAAGGAATATAAATAAAGCTAAATAGGAAAGATGAGGGTTTAGAACTAGACCTATATGTATCTATAGGCCATGTCTACTCCTGGGTAGCACGTATTACCTGACACCAACCTTCCAAGATCCTGTTTCCTTATTCCCAGGCTTAGGCCTCTTAAAGACCTCTAGGGCTGAGCTGGGAGTAAGGATAAGGGAGGGAGGAGGAACACCATTCTTTCTCCGAACTAATTCTCTGTCCTCTTTTCGGTAGTCAGCAGTGGGCTTTGATTATAAGGGAGAAGTGGAGAAACACACATCTCAAAAAGGTAAGAACTCTGCTCAGCCTCAGTACCCTGGCTGAGATACCTTTCAACACCTGCCCTGGGCACCCTTTCAGTCCCAGACCCAGCTCTTCTCATTTTTACTATACACTTTTCATTTTAGTAGATACTTGTTTCTCCTTTCTCCTTCACTGCTTTTATACAAAAATCAATCAAGTTTTCTTTAATCCTTTTTCCTATAATATACTGTAAATAAAATATTTATCCTTTTTTTAATCCCAGAAAGTGAATCTTAAATTTTTAGTATAGTGGTATTTTTATGTATCTTTGACTTAAATTTAATCACTATCTATCTCTTTCTGAATAATATAGCAAACTTAGAATTTTTAAATTATATTCTTTCTATCTTCCATATTTTCACTGTCTGGTATTTGGTTATATGTATTTTAAAACCCCTACAAAAATAATTAATATTACCTAATAAATGCTTGTGTATATTAACAGTTACCAAATTCCTAGTTCACTGTCATTTTGTATTTTATTGTTTCCTTATTATTATTCATTGTATTTGATTATTTCTTCTGGCTTCTTCTAGTTCTTTCTTGCTGACATGTATCTTTAGATAATTCTCAGACTGAGAGTTTATGAAGGAACTCTTAGTTTTTGAATTATGTCTTTATTTTACAGCAATCTTCATCATCATTATTTTCCCTCAGTCATTTTGAAGATATTATTTCACTGTTCTGACATTTCTGTTGTCAGTTTAATTAGCACAAAATAACCATTAAAGATTGTTTTGGTCTTTGATATTTTGTAATATCAGGATGCATGTTTCTATTATCTAATATGAGACTTATTACTCATCTTCAAACATGATCTTCATTATGGAGATTCTTAGGCAGTTTCTTTCTTAACATTTTTAATAGCATCAGTTAGTTGCACAAGGGGGTTACATTTTGACAAGTCCATATATATATATATATATATATAGAGAGAGAGAGAGAGAGAGAGAGAGAGAGCTTGGTTAGACTTATCCCATCTATTGTTCCTCCTTCCCCCTCTCTTATTTCATAAACCCATCAACAAGCTTCATTGTTTTCTTTTCATATCTGTACATAAACATATCCTGGTTCACTCTTGCTACTCCCACTTTGCAGCCACACCCCAACAGGACCCAATTTACATTCCTATTGTTTATCTTTTATTGTATGCTAATTATTCAAAGGAGTTTCACTGTGGTATTTCACACTTACATGCATTTAAGTACTCTAATTGGATTAACGCTCTCCTTTTCTCTCCTTTTCCTAATCCCCATTATCCCTAATTATTCAAGGCTTTCACTGAGTTTCATTTTGCTACCTTTATTCATGGATATGCTATGGTATGTTTACTCTATAAATTTGCTTTTCCTCTTCAAAAAGGCCCACAATTACAAACATGCTGTCTATATGTATATGCTCTTTTATGTGCTTATGTATATGTATATCTTTTAAGTCTAGTTTACATCTTTGAGAGGGGAAAATGTGACCTCTGTCCTTCCAAACTTGGCTAACTTCATTGCACATGATATTCTCCAGTTCCACCCATTTCCCAGCAAATGACATAACTTCATTCTTCTTTGTTGTTGAATAATACTCCATTATGTAAATATACCACTTTTTAATCCAATAATTACTTGTAGGATATTTGGACTATCTCCATTTGGACTATCTCCATAGGTTGACTATCATGAATAATGCTGCAGTGAACATGAGGATAAAACTACTTCAATTATATCCTGACTTACATTTTTTCAGATATATGTCCAAGAGTCATACCACTGGATCATAAGTAGCTCTATATATAGTTATTTGAGGAGCCTCTATACTGATTTGCATAGTAGTTACACTAGCTTACATTTCCACCAACTGTGTAAGAACTTCCCCCTCCATCCTCATCATTTGTTGTGTTCTTGATGATGCTCTTCTCATTGAAGTGAGATACCATTTTCATCTATATTTCCTTTTTGGCCTGGGATTTTGAGCATTTCTTTATGTATTTATTGGCCATTTGTACTTCTTTCAAGAATTGTCTGTTTGGTTCATTTTCGCATTTCTTACTTCAATTAGCAATTCTTTGAGAGTTCAGTTGTTTTTTTAAGTTCCCTGAATATTCTGGTTGTTATTCCCTTGCTGGCAAAGATTTTATATCACTCTGTAGGTTGTCTCTTCAGCCTAGTGACTATTTCCTTTCCTCATAGCTTTTCATTTTTGGTGCAATCTGATATGCTGGTATATTCTAGCATTTTCCCTATTCTTTCTGTAGTCATTTTAAACTTTCAGGTCTTACATTAAGATCTGTGACAGGGCAAGAGGCTTCTGCATGTAGATATTGTTTCCCTAGCACCATTTGTTGAAGAAGTGATCTTTTCTCCATCATTTGTTTCAGATGGCTGTAGCTATGACAATTTATGTCTTCTGTTTTATTGATCTGCTTGTGTCTATTTTTGTGCTATTATCAAGCTGATTGTGATACTATGGCTCTGGAATATAATTTGAAGACCATTGTTGTGATACTTCCAAAATTTTTTGTTGTTGTTGTTCAAGATTGCATAAGCTATCTGGGTCTTTGTGGTTCCATATGAATTTCAATTATTTAAAAAATATTTCTATGAGGGCTGGGAAGTTAGCTCAATGGTAGAGTACTTGCCTTGCATGCATGAGGCCCTGGGTTCGATTCCTCAGCACCACATAAACAGAAAAGGCCGGAAGTAGCACTATGGCTCCTCAAGTGATAGAGGGCTAGCCTTGAGCTGAAGAGCTCAGAGGCAGTGCCCAGGCCTAGAGTTCAAGCCCCATGACTGACCAAAAAAAAAATTTTTTTTCCTATGAGAAATGACATTGGCACTTTGATGGGGACCGAATAAAATCTGTAGATTACTTTTTATTTTTATTTTTTTTTTGTAGATTACTTTTTAATATAGCTGTTTTGAAAATATTGGTTCTGCCAATCCATGAATATGGGCCACAACAAGATCTTTTGTTTTCTGAAGTGGTCCTTAGGGAATTCTGGGTGGGGCTGTCTAAATTAAGGGCCTCAGGAGGACCTCAGTTAAGATCATACTTAATTTCTCCCTCTGATGACAGTTTATTTCCTGGGCCCAGCCTGAGTGTCTAGCCCTTCCCATCACCAAATGTCCCAGCTAGTCCCAAAGCCTGCCTGGCCTCAGGCTGCCAGCCAGCAATCAATGTTAACTGATTCCTTCGTAATCAGAACTCTCAACCAGGGGAAGGTAGTGGTTCGTTTTCCCTGCTGGCTGGCTTTGAGGCTGCTGCTCTCACTGAGAAGGGTGGACTCTATCTATCCATGGCTACCACTGAGGGCAATATACCACTTAGACCCTGGCTGTGTGCTACAGATCCCACTGATCACCAATTGTTTCTTTATCTCGGTCCCAGGGCTTGGCTGGCAGCAGTCTATTTGCAAGCAGCTATTGTCATCTAATATTCTGAGTTCCTTAGTCTCAAACTGGAAGTTCCTCTCACAAGATGGGGCCTTACTGCCAACTGTCTGAGATATGGGGAGCAAAAAGCTGTGCTGTCTCATGCTGGCCTGTCATGCTGGGAAGTCACCTCCCTGTAAATCTTTGCACATAGATTTGATGCTTGCAGGATTTGCCCCACAGCTAAGTCTGCTGGTTGGTTTGAAACAGAGGTTGCCTGTATCGCGTTGTGATGGGGGCAGCCTCAAGTCTTCCCTCCCTCCCTCTCTCTAGGTGAGACAGAACAGAGTTGCAGAACTGGTCTGCTCAGTTAGCTTCTCATATTTCAGTTTCACCATACTTTCCAGCTGTCCTGTTCCTCTATTATGGTTCTTGATATTCTTACTCAGCTTTGCTCTTCCAAATAAAGTGTCTTTTTCATTTCTCAAACTCAGTCATGGAGTCTGCCAGAAAAAGCCTCTACTCTGCTATCTTGCAGTTGTTCTCATACATACTCAGCTTTGACTCTTCTCTTTCTCAAGCCAAGATTTACTTTTTTCCTTCTTTTCTTCTGATCTTCACTGTTTAAAAAAAATCACACTGTAAGATGTGTGCCAGTGGCTCACCTCTGTAATTCTATCTACTCAGGAGGCTGAGCTCTAAGGATCATGGTTCCAAGTCAGCCTGGGCAGGAAAGGCCCTGAGACTCTTATCTCCAATAAGATAAGAGATACTCAGAAAAAGCCTGAAGTTGGTGCTGTGGCTTAAGTGGTGTAGAGTTCTAGCCTTGAGCACAAAGAGGCTCAGGGACAGTGCTCAACCCCTGTGTTCAAGCCCTAGGACCAACCAAAAAAAAATTGTGTGTGTGTGTGTGTGTGTGTGTAAGAATCCTTCATGACCATCCCAGGGGACCACTCAGAGGCAGGCAGGCACAAGAGAAAAATTATAAGGTTTATTAGAGGGGCCATATCTCCCTGGGAGAGGGAGCACATGGCATCTGCCCCTATCCAGGTGGCAGGCAGGTGGAGGGGGGCAGTGAGGGAGGTGGAGAGGTGGGGGGGGGAGTGAAGGTAGAAGTGTGGTAGGTACATGCAAGGTAGGCCTGGTTGGAGAGAGGGAGTGGCCAGCTGTATGGAGGAAACTCTAGGGCAGGAAGGAGATAAGGTCTAGGTAGAGCTGAGTACCAAAGATGGGGATACTAACAGTATACACACACACACACACACACAAATTATCTGACATTTCTGTATGTTTATCTAGGTATAGGAAAAAGGTCTACGTTTTACATATATTTGCTGTTTGTGTGTGTGTGTGTGTGTGTGTGTGTGTGTGTGTGTGTGTGTATGTTTGTGTTTATGGAAATGTCTTCCCACAGTCTCTATAACTTGTCCCGTCCTTGAATAAGAAGAGAAAAACAGAAATGACTGATCTCATCTTGAAATGGAAGTGAGGAGGGAGAGGAAAAGAGTGAGCAGATTCACCTCTATTCTGGTCCTGCTCTGCTGCAGACCCCTCTCACTCTGCACCCATGACTGACGCCTCTCTTCAGCACTTTCCTGTGGGTGGAGGCTGGGCTCTCATGACCACACTGCTTCCACCATAGATTACTCTCGTGGCTTTGGTGGCCGATATGGAGTGGAGAAGGATAAACGAGACAAGGTAGCTCTGGGATATGACTACAAGGGAGAGACAGAGAAACATGAGTCTCAGAGAGGTAAGTAGGGGCTGGGAGGAGGGTGGTCACAGGGTGACACAAAGTCCTCCTTCCTTTCTGGGGACAACCCGAAGGCCCAGAATATAGAGGTATGTAGTGAAGAGTGGGATTCAGAGGTCTATAGTGAAGACAGAGAGGAAGTGAAGTGGATGGAGGGAGACAGCAAGGATGGAACAAGATCAGGATCAGGGCAGAGGACGGAAGTCGAAGAGATGAGGACATAGAAAATGGGGTAGAAACAGGCTTGGTGATGACCACACAGTTGTTTAGTATGAGTGTCATAGGTCCATTTGCCTCATAGAAGACAGAGCGATCTGCCTCTGCCTTCCTGGAGATAGCTGGAAGACTCTTCCTGTTTCTCTGTCCTTCTGTCTGTCTCTGTCTCACTCTCTCTCTGTCTTTTAAATATTTTCATCTTATTTTTCTGTTTCCCTCTTTCCATCTCTCTTCCATTTCCCTTCCTTCCCATCCATGCCTCTCTCTTCCAACTCTCATGTTTCCTTCTTTGTCTTTGAGATCTTCCATATTCCTGTCTTCTGGTCCTTCACCCCACTGTTCCTTTTCTCCCCTTCTTCCCAGCATTTTGATCTCCTGCTTTGACTCTCAGAACTTCCTGTCTTGCAGATTATGCCAAAGGCTTTGGTGGCCAGTATGGAATCCAGAAAGACCGAGTGGATAAGGTAAATCTGATGTTTTAGGAAGTGTTCCCTGAGGGCAGTAAAGTGCACAGGGGAAAGCTGAGGAGGGGACACTGATGTTGGGTCCTACACCTGTCCTTCTGGGGTCTTGCTCACCCCATGGGCTTGAATTCCACAGCCAGAGCTTTAACTGAGGAAAGAGGGAAGACATGGAGAGAGAAAGAGATGGGGAGGGGGGGAGAGAAGGAAAAAGGAAAAAAGGGGGAGAGGGAAAAAGAGGGGGAGGAAAAGGAAGAGGAGAAAAAGGATGGAGGAAGAAGACAAATAGGAGTATTTTTCCCCAGGGACAGGTAATGTTGACTATGAAATTTCATGGATTGCTTGGCATTGCTTGGCCCTATCTTTAGTCTCTTCCTAGCCCATGTCACTATGCTCCCATATATTAGCTCATCATCCCACATTAGCCTGAGTCCGTCTACCTTCTAGACAGCTGGTTTAGAGACATGGGATTCTAAGTACATTGAGATTTCCAAAAGGAGAAACGGAGTCATCTTTATGTACTTTACTATGACAGAACAATACTGGAAGACACTCTTTGTTGAGCGATACGTGGTTAGGGATTCTTCCTAGAGTAGGCCCAATCCCTGACACTGCCTTCAGAGTCACTACTTCCCTCCCCACCAAACTACATACATTATTTTCCCATCTGCAGAGCGCTGTGGGCTTCAGTGAAATGGAGGCTCCAACCACGGCTTATAAGAAGACGACTCCCGTAGAGGCTGGTGAGTCTGTTTCACTCTGCCGTGATCTTTTGCCTCCTTTCTCTTCCAACTGTGTGTGTGTGTGTGTGTGTGTGTGTGTGTGTGTGTGTGTGTGTTGGTCATGAGGCCTGAACTCTGGGCCTGGGTGCTGTCCCTCAGCTCTTCAGTTAAAGGCTAGCATTCTACCACTTGAGCCAAAGTGCCATTTCTGGCTTTTTCTGCTTATGTGGTAACTGAGGAATGGAACCCAGGGCCTCATGCACGCAAGGCAGGCATTCTACTACTGAGCCACCTTCCCAGCCCTCTCTTATGACTCTTCCTCCTCCATAGATTATGGTCTCCTGAATGACTTTAACTATTTAGATTATCGGAAAAAGATTTGATCCCTCACACTTCCAGATATTGATTCCTGGAAAAGCCAAGTGGTAGAGAGATGGTGTGGCATGGGGGAAGGATGTAGAGGAAGAGAGGAAGGGAACACAAGGGAGGGGAGGAGAGGAACCACTGGGAAAGGATAGCTGGGAAAGGAGCTTAGGATAGGCAAAGCATGGTAGCAGCTAGAGGCATATAGAGTTACAGAATGTAGACAGAAGAGGACTCTGGTTAGGAGAACAAAGCTTATCATTTAAAAAGGATGAAGACTGAGGTCCTAGACAGGCTATGTGGAACTCTAGGTTGTAGAGCCAAAATGTCCTCCCTAGGACATCTCTTGTTCCTCCATTAATACCTCTTTATCTTTCTCTCAGATAACCTCCTCACCTCTTTTTCTTCCATAGTTAACAGATTCTTCCCTTTTCAAATGCTACACCTACCTCTCCCTAATTACAAATCACCCTGTTCTTCCCACCTATGTCTGCAGCTTCCAGTGGTGCCCGGGGATTAAAGGCAAAATTTGAGTCCATGGCTGAGGAGAAAAGGAAGCGAGAAGAAGAGGAGAAGGTCCAGCAGATGGCCAGGCAGCAACAGGAGCGGAAGGCAGTGGTGAAGATGAGCCGCGAGGACCAGCAGTTGGAGATGCAGTTGGAAAAGCCGGTGGCATCTTCCCCATTGCCCAAGAAAATCTCCTCAGAGGTGAATTCCTGGCCCTCTAGGGTCCATGTCTAGGAATTCTTGCCCAGACAGGAGCCTCGGGGTCCCTGCCTTCCCTGTATTTGGCAGAGTATGTTGTACGTATTGGAAGAAATATTCCATCAGTTTGTGTAATTGGACCTCATAATGTCACTCACACACACACACACACACACACACACACACACACACACACACACACACACAGACAACATAAAAACAAGGTTAAGCAGTAAACAGATCATAGTTGCAGGTTGGGGTCCATCTTAAGGAAGAATTCCATGTTAGATCGGTAGAGAGAAAGATGGGGTGTTCCCGGATAGTTTGGGAATGAAGATGAGGGTTGCTCACTAACATGATGCTTTGTTCTCCACAGATCTGGCCCCCAGCTGACAGTCATCCACTGCGGGAACCTGAGCCTGTCAGAACCAGTAGAGAATGCCCAGTGCCGCCTCTGCCCATCAGGCAGAATCCCCCAGAGGTGAGCCGAGCCCCAGAGATTCTCTTCCCCCTCCCCACTGCCTCGTGCCTTAGGAAGGAAGTATAGGGTGGCTGCTCATCCTGTTCTGGTATTGGCTATAAAAATCCTGCATTCTGGGAACGCTGCAGTCCTAGAAAAACTAAGGCTGCTTGCTCTCTGAGATGTGATATTCCTTAAATATGCTTTGCTTTGGCATTTCCCTGGTCTGCCAAGGACCCTGCCTTGCTTTCCACTTCCCTCCCCTCCTACCTCTTATATTTCCCTCTCATCACATCAGGGTAGGAAGTGTGCGGGTGGGGTGACAGTTGCAGACTGAAGTTGGACACCAGACTGAGTCTCTGAAGAGTCTATTAGCTGGAGATGAAGGTGTGGCGTCTTAGCAGTCTCATCACACCTTCATAGAATCTTCCTGGTGAGTGGAAGTAACCTTGCTCTCCACTGTCTCTTCTCAGGATACAGAACAGCCCCCAGCCCTGCCTCCCAGGACACCTGAAGTCTTCCAGCTGGAGGAAGAGCCAGTGTATGAATCAGCGCCAGAGCCAGAGCCAGAGCCTGAGAATGACTATGAGGACGTGGAGGAGATACAGAGGCTGAAGCCAGATGATGAAGCAGAGGGGGACTATGAGGATGTGCTGGAGCTTGATAACCCCTCTTTCCCCTCTGCCCAGGCAGGTGAGTACCGGGAGGGAAGCAGTGCTCGAATTCAGCCAAGTCTAAGGGAGCAAAAGAAGAGGAAGATCTCCCACTTCTCGCCAGGATCTCTGTTTGCCTTCTGCTCGTACATTAGACCATGCTTATATTTCTCATTTTGCAGGATCACCAGGCAGCCCAGCTGGGGCTGGTCCCAGTGGGACCTCAGCTGTGGCCCTGTATGACTACCAAGGAGGTATGTTCAGAACAGCCTGAATGGTCCCTGATATAGGGGAAAGGGAGCAGGGAGGGGCCAGGCTTGGCATCAAGGAAACCAGGTCTTTTTCTTTACTGGAGACTGAGCATGGACACAGGGAGGGAAAAAGGGATCCTTGTCTGACTACCCATCCCAATGTCCCTTTCACTTCCTCCCCAGAGGGAAGTGATGAGCTTTCCTTCGATCCGGATGACATCATCACTGACATTGAGATGGTGGACGAGGGCTGGTGGCGGGGACGTTGCCATGGCCACTTTGGACTCTTCCCTGCAAATTATGTCAAGCTTCTCTAGTGACTGGCCCTCACTGTCTACAACAGCAACTGCTCCTGGACAGGATGTGAAAGTAGCTCGGTTACCACCCCTTCCCATTCCTCCTGCTAACAGGATGTCATCTCAAGGATCCCCACAGGCTTCCTTCTCCCCATTTTGTTGAGGGCTTCAGATGGAGACAGCATGAGGAAGAGAGTCTCCTTCCCCTCTGTGTCTTCTCTACACAAGATGTTTATCTTGTGGTCTTGCCAATTTCCCTAAGAATCTTTCCTCCAACACCCAAGTCTCTTTTCTTCCCTTGTGAGCTCTGGATTGTAAGCGTGCTTACCTGGGAAGGTAGGTCTAGATTGCCTGGCTTGCCTACTTGTGCTTTGTCCATTTTCTTCCCTGTAGAGATATCTTTGAATTCTATTCAGTCCTAAAATTAGAAATAAAGTGGAAGTATGGTTCACCCCTGAGTTGCAGTAAATAATATTTGGTGTATAAGCCTCACTGGCCCTGACTTTCAAGTCTTTAAATCTCCTTCCTGCTCCCAGGCACGTCTCCATCCTGGTTTCTAGTGCTTAGGATGTAGCGTTCTCAGAAGGTCCCACTGCCAGGCACCAGTGGCTCATGCCTGTCATCCTAGCTACTCAGGAGGCTGAGATCTGAGGAGCGTGGTTCAAAGCCAGCCTGGGCAGGAATGTCTGTGAGACTCTTATATCCAACTAACCACCAGAAAACTAGAGGTGGTGCTGTGGCTCAAGGATAAGGCCTACTCCTTTTCTTTAGACTGAACCTTAAACTTAGTCCAAAAAAACAGAGTGTAAAGCTAGAGACAGTGACTCCTGCTCAAGAGGTCTCTGCTCAGGATTTCTTGTAGCTAGATGGCTGAAATCAATGTCAAGAAAAGAGGATGGATGGATGAAGTTCACAAAGCTGCTGTCTGGCCCATTGCTGAGACAGGTAGGAAAATAGATGAGGACTTCTGGACAGCTAGTTATGGGAAAAATGTGAACCATCAAGCACAATATGGGATAAGGATGAGTGAGTGAGAAAATGAATCGTTTTATCCCAGCCCTAGGCTACTGTGTTCAGCTTCAGCATGGCCAGAGACAGCAGATCTTCAGGCACAATTGAAATAAAAATCAGAGACTTGTTGTAAGGTATCTTTGGTTCATAGGACACCGAAGTCTGTGCTGTTTCTAGTAATGTAGCTGTTTTCCCCTTTTAAAGTTAGAGAAAGCACTGGTATCAAAGACTCACTGTTGTTCTAGGGCTTCATGTTGCGGAGCTGCCCATGGGCATAGAGTACCGAACACCTCAGGCTGTCCTTAGTTTCTCTAGAAGACACTCCTTGGTTTCACCCAAGACTTTTTTTTTCTTTTGCCGGTCGTGGGCCTGAACTCTAGGCCTGGGTGCTGTCCCTCAGCTCTTCAGCTCAAGGCTAGCACTCTACCCCTTGAGCCACAGTGCCACTTCCAGCTTTTTTCTGCTTATGTGGTACTGAGGAATCGAACCCAGAGCCTCATGCATGCAAGGCAAGCGCTCTACCACTGAGCCACCTTCCCAGCTCACCCAAGACTTTTTATACCAATGAATCACAGGCCATCTCTTAATCGAACTCACAAGATTTACCAAATTAGCTTTTAAGCAGCTTTTATTTCTTCTTACAGAAGAGTCATTGGTATTTCTGGTATTTAGAGCTAAGTTACCACAGATATACATACAACCTCCTTCATTTCAGTTTGATTTGACATCCTATACAAATTAGGCCTTTATAATTGTTCTCATCTTCAAGTCTCACCTTGCTTTCACTTGTAAGACAGAAACTGCCTTTCTAGATCCTTATGCGAGGCCCATAGGTCCTTTCTGGCTTAGTTCTATAAACTTCACCCTCCACATCTGACTGCCTTTCTTGGTGGTGGCAATGGTGCTCATCAAGGACTCTCACAAGGACATTTCCTTGTGTATGCAGGCTTTATAGCTGTAACAGAATCCTCCTCACTTTCCCCCTCTCTAGCTTCTTCTTCTTCTTCTTCTTTTTGTCATTGGTCTTGGGACCTGAACTCTGGGTCTGGGTACTGTCCCTCAGCTCTTCAGCTCAAGGCTAGTGTTCTACCACTTGAGCCAAAGTACCACTTCCAGCTTTTTCTGCTTATGTGGTGCTGAGAAATCGAACCCAGGGCCTCAGGCATGCAAGGCAAGCACTCTACCACTGAGCCACCTTCCCAGACCTCCAGCTGCTTCTTAATCTGAAGGCACACCTAAAAACCTGTCTCTATCAGATGATGCTCTCTGCTCATGCTGTTCACTGCAACTTCACCCACTAATCAAGTCATATTTCTAACTCAGGCTCAGAGGAGGTCTGCTTTTGCTCTACCTGACTTCTCCCCATAAGATGTCCTTGTTTCCAGGGACCAGAGGATACACGTAGTTCCTTGTAACATAAATAATTAGATATCATAGTTAATGTATGGAATGGTGTGGGTCAATTTAGTACTGCTTAGAAGACAGCAATGGGGAGAGAAGAGTGTGGCTAGATGTGTGCTCCCCAGAAAGCATGTGTGGGGATGTCTTGATTGCTCTCCCAGACTGGGCCGTGCGTGCCTGCCCAGTTTGTGAAGGAAAGCACTTTCTTGTCCCTCGATGGCACCTCACTTCTGATCCATCTCACTACAATCACTGATACTCATCGTTGGTTGGTCTGTAGTTCCCCTTTCTCTCACTTTCTAATAAGAAACCAGGAGTGGACTTTAGGAACTTCACTCCTCTGTGTGAGGACCAGATTTAAAACACACAGAACTGATGCCTGGAAAACTCTCCTCCTTCGTTCCCACTTCAGTGTTTAGTTGTTTTCACTTTAGTTGTTTTCATCTTCACTGGAAAAAGCCTTAGATCACACTCTAGTTAAAAATTTTAGAATGATAACTTATATACAAATGTGAAATATAACCCCAACAAAAAGGTTAGGAGAAATAGAATTACATTACCAAGAAGTAGTAAGTGGTTCATTGGCATGAAAAGGTAAGTAACCTTCTGATGTGAGGCCACTCTACTGCCTCCCTGACTATTCCAAGAGGCATCAACTTCTTCACCTCTCCTAGCTCTGACCTAGCTCCTTCTTTTGTTGGCTGCATTACTTTCGTCTTCTGCTTCCCTATGTTGCCTGTTCTCTCTTTTTTCTATTTCTTGCTTGCTTGGGATCTTCTAGGACTGTTGGAAAATGGTGCCAATTAAGATACAAGGATATAAATACAAGACAAACATAATTCTTTTCTGGCTTTGGGTATATCTGGGTCTGCTCACATGTTCTTGCATGTAGCCCAAGGACATGAAGCCACATCAAGCAAACCAGCTCAATCTGTTTCCCAACTTAGACACCACGTGTCTAAAACCTATTAAGGAAATATGCGAGTACTACGTTAAATCATAGCCACTGTGGATAGCCAAATGAGATAAGATTTTACTGAACTAAAAGACAAGCATGTCCTAACATTATCTCTGGTATGGGATCCTTCAGAACAGTGATTCTCACTCGGGAGCTACTTTTCTGCCAGGGGCCATTTTTCAATATCTGACTCATTTTTGGTTGTTCATGGTTGGTATATTACTGACATTTCATGAACAGAGGCTCAGGATGCTTCTAAATAACCTGAAATATGTAGGACAGTCCAATATAACAAAGAATTATCCAGTTCAAAATATGAACAGTTACACGGTTGAGAAATGTTGCTTTAGAGCATGCCAGTTTCTATTGTGGAATTTGTTTATTTCTGTCCTCCTAAATATTCAGTTTGTTGCCTAAACAGTTGCCAGTTTTGAAAGGCATGACCAGCAACTGGTAGGAACAATTTCATGAAATCATTATGTCCACATGTCCTCCTCTCTAAGACCCCTAGGAGAGTCCCCAACTGGTGCTTAGTGGTAACTGGTGCATAGGAAGTGCAGCAGGCTTTGTCTAGACTTTGCCAAGTATGTGGTTTCCTTGGGCTACCCTGTGCATTATCAAGATGGTAAAAATACTTTTGTAGTCTTTGTCCTTATTTTCTACATGTCTCTTTTGGAGTCTCTTTAATTTCTCAAGATTTTCTTTCTCTGTTGCCAAGATTCTACACAACAAGCCCTGTGTACAAACTCAGCATTGCCTTACTGAATGGCTGTCATGTACATGGCCTGAGCTGAGGCCACCTGGACTTAGAGGAAGTACAGTGATGGAAAGAAGTCCTGGACTTGACTTTTAAGAGAGATACAATTCCAGAACCCTTAAGTTAGGTAATCTCCACCCAGAGTGTCCGGAAAATTAACTCTTACTGATCCTGTCCCTGTATTGCTTGCCCCATGAATCTGAAAATGCTCTGTAAATTAAAAAGCCCTGTGGGTAATCAGTCCTATCTTGGTGATGGAATTTAGTCTCTCTTATCTCCTAAGGATGTGGGTTCATTTTTCAAATGGCCTCAAGTTACTTATTTTCTCCTTAGACCGATCTATTAAAAGGGGGGGGGGGAGAAAAGGAGGAGTGGAGAAGAAAGGGCAGAGAAGGCAAGGAGAAGAGAGGAGTGATGAGGAAGAGAAGGGAGGGAAAGGAAGGGAAGCCATCAGTGTCATATCACACTATAAGCCGTAGCTTAGAAAATTTTCAGGCCCAGTTCAACTTCTGGGTTTGAAGGACATTGCATACTTCAATACACTAGAGAAGCAGATCTCTGGTTGACAGAGGAGCTCTCAAACCACACTGTCCTACTTTTTCAATAACTCCAAGAAGAAATTCAGGAATGGTGACCTGTGGCTCTTTAGGTGTGTCTTCCTCGTGGTCTGGCCCTAAAGGTGGACACTAAGCTCTCCCGAGCCTGCTCATGGGGTTGACACATGCTGGTCAAACGGATCGGGTCAGTCTTGTGCTCTATGATGTTGAAAGGACAGGCCTTCAGATGCTCAGACATGGAGGTGACTTCATTAAACTCCCAGCTCTTGATTTTGGAGAAAAGGCTGCTGAACTGCCAGATCTGTTGGGAAAGAGAGAAAGCTCAAAGGTAAACTGCTGGGCAATCCCCCAGGGCAGCCTGGATTTCAACAGTATAAGGAAATGACTCTCCATTCTTTCTGTGCTTAGCTTCCAGAATATTCAGTGGCTGCTACAGGCATTTTTTAGTTCCTTTCCCAGCATCCAAAATCCAGTTCTCCCTCCCAGTTAATAATCTTCCCAGCAAGTCTTACGTATACTGACATGCTCCCCTACTCCCCCATTTTGTCCCTCCCAGTAACAGTGTTCTAAGGTAGACAAATCGCTTAAATCAAGGCCATTGCCACTAGCCCTCTACTCTAGAACCTATGTTTGAAATACAGAAAAGCAACTTCCTTTTCTCATTCTGAACTTGAATTGGGAAGCTATAGTCCTAGCAGCTGCTTGCAGCCACTAGAACACCAAAGAACTGCCTTAGCATATAGCCAATATTGAAGAATAGGAGATAAGAAATAGGAAGAAAAAAGTTATTTGAGGCATTATTGAGCTGCTAGATCAAGCCTTACTAAAAGCTATTGCCTTTGAACTTTTTAGTTTTGTAGGCTATTAAATTGTTTATGCCACTTTAGGTTGGTTTTCTGCTGCTTGAAATTGAAAGTACCCTAATTAATAAAGATCTCACAGGATCGCTAAGGAGGATTATGAGTCTGGTACTTAATAAGATAATCTTTGGTCTTTTCACCTAGGATGTAGTAAAAGTCACTAGTTCTAAAATCTGATTATGAGGATGGATGTACTGATTTCCTTTCAACATGACAGCTTTATCCTTTTTTTGTTTTTGTCTTGTTACTGCATAGAAAAAGTATTTCCTGGGATTTTAGAATAATGTCTCTCACACTCTTTTCATTAACTTAAGTCATTTTACTATGAGTATTTTTTTTGCCCCAACTACCCTATTTTTACTACTTTCTGCAATTAAATTAGTTTGATATGATATCAAACAGTGGTCAGAAATCATTGACTGAGGGACAAATTTGAACCAAACAAATGGGGGGTTGTATATAAATGAAATTATTTGCATCATATATACAGGAAACACAGCAAGTTTTAGACAATACTTTTGAAAGCAGTATCTTGATTTCATTAGTGTTTATATCTAACATGCGGTTGCTTGGCAACCAGTATTTAACACATGGATACAGGTCTGGATTTTATTATTATCTTTAAAAGAATATTTCTTACAAAATAAATAATGAAAGATATAAAAGATATAATCAATAAAAACAGATGGAAACAACTTTGACCAGTTTGTAAACACACGTATTTTAGGCAGAAACTTGACACTGAGGTTATCAACTTAAATAGACATCATACATTCACAGCTCATACTGCCATCATATTTTCTAGGAGAAAGGATGTTACGTGTACCTTGATCATGATGAATTAGAAATCTCACTTCTGCAGAAGTTATAAGCCAGTTAAGTCAACATGAATCAATTGAGAAAAAGGAACAAGATTTTACTGAAAGGAAAGATTCTATGATTTATACAGCAGTAACTTATAAAGTAAACAGGCATTTGAACCAGTGGTAATTGGTAGAACAAATTCATGTAAAATTTCAAAATGTGTTGGCATGAGATAGAAAAATTTTCTGGCCTATGTATCACCAATACAGAATCCAAATGGGAAACGGATGGCCCACTCAAATCAGACAATTGAAGAGAATTTTTTAAACAAATGCTTTACATATTACAAATATATACAAGCATGGAATGCAAAAAAAGCTACAGGTTATAGTAATAGTAAATAATTCACATTCAGTTATGGAGGGTCATAACCACTTTAAGGTATCATGGAGGGAAGGAAACATTCAGGGAAGATGCCAGAAGCATATAGCCTTCAGCCCCATTCTTCTTCTTCCTAGCTCCTGCTGATATACCCCTCATTGGATTAGACTCAGTGGGAAAAAGCTAACCAAAGTAAAAAAGCTAGTTGAGGCAATCTGCACAGACCAGAGAAGAGGGGATGGAAAGCACAGCACAAGAGCAACCGGAAGAGAGTCAGGATATAAATAAATAGATGCAGTCATCTATATTGCTGTGTGTTTATAAGGCCATCTCTTTTAGTAGATCAATCTGCTGGAGTCAGTCTCATTACGAACTGTCCCAGGACCTAGTGCAGTGCTAAACATATAGAAATCTCTCAGTAAATATTTGATGAATAAAGGAAGGGATGTATACTTGCCTGTCTGTGGACTTTCCAGGAAGTGCCTCCATGGGAATACCTCTTCTTCTTCCATTGTAAGAGGACCATCCCTCTCTCTTGTAACAGAGTGGCACAGATATTCTTCATCAGCATAGAAACCTGGGAGAGCTGGGACAGGCTGATGCTGTCCAAGAACCCAGCAATGTATTGCAAAACCTCCAGGGGCAAGCTTGTTAAAGAATTCTGGCTTTTTCCTCCATGGCCTGAGAGATGGTTATTTCTTCCCTCATCAAGCTCAGGGGCAACCTCTGGCTTGATGGCAAAGGTCTTGAGCTCTTGACTGTAGATCACTTTTGCCTTTGGCCCTGGAGGACGGAAATGGTTTTGAACAAACGTACACCCTAAGTAGGCTAGGGGGCATCGATGTTGGAACCAGCCATTGAGACATGACTGAATGTCTGTATGGACATTCTTGAAGTGCAGGGGAAATTCATCCCTCCGGAAGAACTTATTGCAGGTAAACGTAAAGGCAGAGCTACTTTTGTTGTGTCTCCTGGTCACACACTCACTGTGGAGCTCCACGTGGAGTCCCCCGGGGTTGCCAGTGTTCAGAAGGTCAGCCAGCACAGTCCCTGAGGAAAACTGTTCTGCTTCAAAGTTGTACGTCTGGGTGGCAAAATCCATGAACAACCCATCAATGCTCCTGGACTCAGAAATGACGTGGCCTTTGAGTTCTCTTTCCAAAGCACACTGGAGGGTGGTCTTGATGAGATCTGATTTTGGCAGGTCCTCCACGGTGACCCCTAAATCTGAAGTATCCACAGCCTTGTGCTCACTTGGCCTACATCTCAGCATGGCATCTCCAAGGCGGGCTCGTTTTCCACAGTAGCTCACGGGTACTTTGAAGGTGTAGACGGTCTTAACTTCTTGAGCCTCGAGGTTGCCATACACAAAGTCTCTCTCCTTAGGGGTACAAGCAGGCATCTGCCCGAAGTGGATGAGCATTCGACCATTGTGTACTAGGTACATGTTATAGTCTTTTGGGTCTACAGCTGTTTTCAGTCTTTCCAGAACACCATCCTGCCAGGGGGCAAAACCTGTCATTTCCATGGCTGCGGCAAATTCCTGCTGCTTCTGGTCTTCCTGTGCTGTTGTCCCTCTTGAAGCATCCTTTGTGTCAGCGGAGTCATTACCACCAGAACTCCGTTCTTTCCCTCCTCCATTCCTGCTCTTGTTCTCACACATCCCTGCTGAGCCTGTTAAAGCAGAGGCAGCATGCTCTTTGCTGAACATATTTTCCCACTTGCCAAACTTAACCAGATCCATTCCTTCTTTAGTTTTGGCTAACATCTCCCGTTCTTCTTGACTTAACTCCATCATTTCCCCATTCATTACTGACAGACAGCCATGTGGTGCTGAACGTACATCAGTTCCCCCCACTGCACCTCCCAGCTCTTCCCAACTGGCTTCACCATTCATTGGTTCCTCCTCAGTGGTGTCTCTAGTTTCTGGGAAAAGTTCTACCATCTTCAATGATCTGAAGAGAACTTTCTGGTCCTGAAGGGCCAGGGCTGTGTCCAAACACTCCTCACTGGGGTTTTCTTTCATGATGTTCTCATGAAGGATGGTTTCTGAGTCTACGTTTGGCCAGCGGTTCCATTCCATGGAGCAGCAGACCACACTAGCAGGGCATACCTGAAGATGCTTGGCCAGCTTGTGGCGGGACATGGAGAGAGGGCAGCCATATTCAGAATTGAGACATGGAACCTGCTCTAAAGGGCAGAGGAGTTCATGCTCTGCCTCTTTGCACATGTGGAAGGTGGCACCGCAGAGCAGGCGGCAACTGATCACCAGGCAGGAGATGCTGGGTTCCACAGGAACATGGCAGTGGCGGTTGATGCATCCTTCACAATGCCTGTGCTGCCCAGGTGGGGGCCTGCGTGCCCTGCCCTGGACATACCGAGGGCAGGGGTAAGAGAAAACAAAGGAATGCTGGGAGAGAAACTCAGTGCAGCAGGTCTGTGAGCATTTTCATTCACATATTTCCTGTTGCTAGATTATTTTCATAGGAAATTTGTAAAAAAGAGACAATCAGAGAGAAGAAAGCAAAAGAAAATCTATCACATCCTTCAAACCATAAATAAAAACTATCAACACGCTTTGAAAATTTTCTCAACTTTTTAAAGTAAATAGCAGTTAGAACAGTAAAAAGCTGGCATTAATGATAATGTTGATCAGTTATTTTTGGCTTGAGGATTATGGGTGATTTGGACCATAGTTAACACTAGGAGGACAATTTTGCATCTTGCTTTTTAACTTACTATTATGAGATTACATTTTCTTTTTTTAATGTTTAGATTGTATGCTTATTTATTTATTGAATTTTTATTATTATTTTGTTTATGTAATACTGAGTAACTGAACTCAGGGCCTCAAGCGTGGTAGGCAAGCCACATTCCCAGCCTGAGATTAGATTTTCAATGTAATTATTCTTTGCAATCTTTTTTTTTCACAGTGTCAGAGTAACATTCCAGAATATGGTGTAATGTCATTTACTTAACCAACTACCTCTGGAGGGCATACTAGGAGGACAAGGGCTTTCACATTTGAGTCCTTACCACCTGCAATGTTGCTTGGATATTTGTAGGTACTCGAGTACTCGCTGAGTGAAGGGAGGTCTAGACACTTAGATAATAACTGGCATTTTAACATTTTGTTTTTATCTTTAAATTTGTTCATGCACATAAGATTTGTACATGCATATGGGGTACAAAATAATAATCAAGTCAGGGTGATTAGTGTTTCCATCTCCTCAAACACCGATCATTTCTATGTGTTGGGAAACTTATTTTTAATGAAGGTCCAACAAGCACCCGATACTTACCATAGCTTCCAAGTTCTTCTTGCTTCTTAACTCTAGGAGGAAATATGAATATGAATTAGTAAGGAAAGTATTATGGTTATTTGGATGAACACTCAGAGATAATACATACTCTCTCATTTAATGCCTCTCCCCACTTTGGAGTGATGCCCCACCCCATCCTCATTATGTAGTCAAGAAAATGGAAGTTTGAAGGGAGTAAGTAACTTCCCTAAGGTCACATGGCTGCTAAGTGGTGGAGTCAGGATTCCAACCCCAGTCATGCCAGTCATGCTCTTTTCACTGACCCACACTGCCCTTTGATGAGGCATGCTATCTTTTAACCATGAAAAGTGTAACTTCTGCTTCTTGTAATTTTTCTCCATTGTCTACTGACAATTACCCTGACTCTTGCCCCAAATCTGGCCTGTGTTATCCTCTGCGGCTTCATAGCTACTGAGAGGTTCAATCTAGTATCTAACTGGTGTGGGACAGGGCTTCAGTGCCTGTGCCATAGCAAGCATGTGTCTGCTGCAGCTGGAATGAGTCAAAACCGTATGGCTCCAGAATCAGGCTAAGTGATGGGCACCATGGCAAGTGGAAGAGATGCTGCTCAGCTTTCAAGGGAAACAAGCCGTCTAGCTCTGACTGGTCAGTCTCATGGGGGAAGGCATTGAGGATCTTCTGTTTGTTTGTTTGTTTGCTGCTTTTTACAGATAAAGTGGTTATGAAGATTTCTGCGAAAGGTCTCCACCCTGACCCTACAGTCCAGTGCTTATGAGATTCTTAATTACTTAACACTTTTGTTTGCCAGTTTCCCCATCTGTAAAGGTGGATGATGACAGTACCTACCTCCTAGTGCTGTTGTGAACAATAAATGGATATACAGCAACAGTGCTTGTCTCAGAGGAGAAGTGATTTACATGCTTTCTCTTAGAAACTTAAGTACTTTATATTTATCATATTGTAAATATTTTATCATATAACAAATATATCGAGATAAAAAAATCCTCAGAATTTTAAATTTGGCAACTAAGTTAACTTAAAATAACTATAAAAATACAATGTTTGAGCAAAGGAAAACCCCCTACAAGTCTAGGCTAGATCAGACCTGTAGGTTACCAGTTTGGTATGCCTGGTTTAAAGAGTCTGCAACGTAGTCCCCACACTGTACGCATGAGGATGGGAAGGGAAGGGAAGCACTCCAAAGTTGGAAGGTGCAGAACTTTATGTTTTTATTTCATTTTATTTTAGCATTTCCCAATTCATTATGGGTAAATTTTTCTACTAATTTTTTTTGAAAAATTTCAAATATTTAGGAAAAGTGAACAAATATGTATAACGAACAGCTGAATAGACTACTAGATTCAAATCATTATCATTTTGCTATTTTGTGCTTGTTGTGTCTTGTTTATCCTTCTTTTTCTTCTTCCTTGTCACTCATCCTCTCCTCTTCTTCCTTCCTTCTTACCTTTCTTTCTCTCTTTCTTCTTTCTTTCTTTCTTTTTCTTTCCTTCTTTCTTTCCTCCTTCCTTCCTTTCCTCCTCTCTCCCTCCCTCCCTCCTTCCTTCCTTCTTCCTTCCTTCCTTCCTTCCTTCTTTTCCCCTCTCTCTATCACTCTCTCTTTCCCTTTCTGTTTCTCACTCTGTCCTTCTCTGTCTCCCTCTCTTCCTCCCTCCTTCCCTCCCTCATGTTACTGGCTGAACCACTTGAAAATGTAATTATAATAACATTTTACCCAAGAAAACTAAAAATAAATTTCTACCATCATGCAACACAGTGTTGATATTCATATTTTCCCAGTTGTTCCCAAAATATCTTCCATAGCTTTTTCTTTGTTTTTGTTTTTCAAATTTGAACAAAAAGCCTTTTAAGGTCAATTTGTTGCACTTAGATACGCTGTTTTATCATCTTTAGTCAAGAACAGTCTCTAGATTTTCTTTTTTTTTCAGGAGAGATAGACTTAAATGGAAATTGTAGTCTTTTTTTTTTTTTGGTCAGTTGTGGGGCTTGAACTCTGGGCCTGTGCACTGTCCCTCAGATCTTCAGCTCAAGGTGAGTACGCTGCCACTTGAGCCACAGTGCCACTTCTGGCTTTCTGGTGGTTAATTGGAGATAAGAGTCTCACCAACTTTCCTGCCTGGGCTGGCTTTGAACTTCCATCCTCAGATCACATCCTCCTGATTAGCTAGGATTACAGGTATGAGCCGCTAGTGCCTGCCCAGCCTGGGCAATCTTTTTTAATGCTTTAAAAAATATTTTGCTGGGGGCCAGTGGCTCATGCCTGTAAGCCTAGTGACTCAGGAGGCTGAGATCTGAGGATCACGGTTCAAAGCCAGCCCAGGCAGGAAACCCTGTGAGACTCTTATCTCCAATAAATCACTAGAAAACTGGAAGTGGCGCTGTGGCTCTAGTGATAGAGTGCTCGCCTTGAGCTGAAGAGTTGAGGGACAGAGTTCAAGCCCCACAACCCTCCCTCTCCCCCAAAAAAGCAGTGAACCAAAGGAGTAGCAAAAGATATTTAGAGAAGTACAGTGTCTTGCTTGTGTCCCTGGAGTCCCCGGTTCTAAACACATGCTTTTTCCCTATTGAATTGCAACGTTCTATTGGGTCTGTAGGAAGTTGCTCCACACAGAGCTACCTGCACATGAGGTCACAAAGGTGTGCCAACAGCTTAGTTGGTACCAAGGACAGAGTAGAACAGAGTCTGGAGGGATGAGGAGATGAGGGGCAGTGTCTCTAGCCAAAATAAGGTCCTGATAATACATACAGCAGGTGTATTTAAATCACTGACCCAGGCAAAAGAGAATGGGATTAACAGACACTAGTTTGAACATTCTTTACTATGATTTTAAAGTTAGCGGCAAACAGGGTTGATATCAAGGGGATATTTTTAGGGAAAGGGCCCTCTCAGCACCCCAAACATGATGTCAGGAACTAGCTATTCTGCTGCCTCACAGGGCTGGGCCTCACAATAATGATTTATTTCTGAACTGCAACTTCAGTGAAGGTGACAAGGTTGAACACTAGAGGTCAAAGCATATTCTTTAATGCTTTAGCTATTAACTGGCATTTTAAACTAGTTACTTTAATGATACACTGTTAACTTATTTTCCTGTTAGAGAAAGATTTAATTCTAGGGGAGAAGTTAACCATTAAAGTAATCTTTTTGGCCTTGAGATTTTAGCAGTTGGCTGAGGTTAATTCTCACATAGCCTCAGGCTTCCGGGCTGTGTTTGTAGGGCATTCATTAGCAGCTCCAATCTCCTCTGTGCCCTACAAACACAGCCACCCATCCCAGATCTATTCAATCTACCATTCACCCTCTACTCTAGATATCTCTCTACCTTTTCACTTTTTGCTTACTTAATTAGTGGTTAATTCTCATAAGCAGTTCGTGCTCATATTTTGGTGCCAGTATTTTAAAATTACTGTATGTAATTTTATGTTCTGAACCTACTGGATTATCTAGAGGTTGCTTTGGGTTAGCCTGTCAGCTTGATTATTTTCAAGCCAATATACCCTAGTCTTTACAGCATGGTACCCCAGCAAATATTTCCGAGGCTCACTGTCATGGAAACAGCAGTAAAAGTTAATGAAGCTAGGCAATCACGTAGTGAGTTTGATGGTGCTTAGCCAACTAGCACAATTATAAGTACCCATGGTAGAGACATGGGGTGCATCTGGAGATTAAAGAGGCTGACAAGAAGGAAACAGAAGTTAAAGTATTTAAGTATAGTTTTATGTCTTCTCCCTTCCACCCACTTCCTCTCTTCTTTCTTTCCTTCTATTCTCCCTCCATTCCTCCTTTCTCTTTCTTGACTTTCCTTCCTTCTTCCCCTCTCTCTTTCTTTATTCTATTCTCTCTCTGTGTCTCTGTCTCTCTCTTTCTCGTACTTCAATAACCTGGTCTTCTTTTTCCATCCCAAATCTCATAATGGGGGCACATGGACAGACAGCATAGCCCAAACAACCCTGTCCTTAGGACTCAGACAGTAATCAACTCATTTTATCTTTCTTCAGTCTACTCATTTCAGGATCTGGATTCTTAATTTCTTCTTAAATTCTCTCTCCTACTGAAGGGTCAAGTTTACAGATTTCTAGAATTTGCTCAATGTCTTCATAGGCCTTGGTGTCTCACTTTTACCAAAAAGCAAAAGAACATGTGTCCTTCACTCACTCAAGTTTACCTCGCTGGCAGTTTTTCAGTTTATCACAAACTTAGCTGAAGGTCACTGACAACTTTCAAGTCTCTCTCTCTGTCTCTGTCTCTCTCTGTGTCCTTGGGGCTTAAACATAGGATCTGCCCTTCTTACTCAAGGCTAGTGCTCTACCATTTGAGCCATAGCTCTAATTTTTATTTTATTTTATTTTTTGGAGATAAGAGTTTTATGGATTTTCCTGCTTGGGCTGTCTTTGAACCTCAATCTTCAGACCTCAGCCTCCTGAGTAGCTAGGATTACAGGCATGAGCCACTTGTATAGAGCCTTTTAAGTTTTCTTTTACTTGGCATTGATGGCTTTAACCTGACCACTTCAAAGTTCTTTTTGTTACACAGTTCATTTCCTACAATGTCCTTAGCTGAACTTTGGACCAGATAAAGTAAATAAACAGTGCTCTACCCATGCCAGTCTTATTGTGTGTGTGTGTGTGTGTGCACGTGTGCATATAACATTATATACTTGTTCTGGAAGGTATAAGTAATCTATATTTTATAACTTTCAATACCTCAATTATCATTACTCAGTTTTTGTTCCTCGGGATGTGGAAGTTTTCAAGTTTGATTTGGGTATAGATGTCTATATAAGGTTTTCACCTTGCAAAATAGCTCCATCTATACCCCATACATACATTTTGCTAGACTGGAACGCTACTACTAGAGCCATCTTTCCAGCCCTCATAAATGCAGTCTGGATTTAAGAGAGCCGAAGAGAAAAGAGATGCATTTAGGAACTACTATTAGAGGAAAATAAGTTTTTTAACTGCAGGAGGAGTTTAGATAATGTGTGCAGTTCAGTACAGTTACATTGTGTTACCCAGCAGTGCAGTACAGAGGAGAGCACTGAAGTCACACAAGAATGACTTGCAGGTATTACAGAAAGTGTTGATCAGAGAAAGGATTGCAGCATTCGGACTTTACAATTCTGGGGTTCTGGGTCTTTCAATTATTTCCTCCCACCTGCCCTCTGCACCCCAGTCATCACTTCCCATCTTTAAAGGGATCACATGAACTTTAAAGGCATCAGATAACTACTTAGCTTGATTATAGAAGAACCCAAGCTACCAGAAAGCAGCATAGATTCGAGTGCCCTGAACATTTAAATTTGAAACAAGAGTTCATACATTCTCCTTCAACCTCCGACCCCCTCCACGATCTCTGTACATAATGGGTTTGCTGAATAACCCTTGCCCTTGGGGGCACAAAGATGGTGCACAGCAAGCTTCCATCATGCATTCATCACCGGCTTCTATTTGAAAAGCTTACCTTAACAACACTGGCTATCACCATCAGCTGCTCTTGTCCCTTGATGGGGAACAAACTGTCACCGGGAGGTGGCCGTGGACGAATCAGCTGCAGCAGTACACAGAGTTCTGTTGGGAACACAAGGAAAGGGAGAAAACTTCAACAGAAATAGTTCAAGTGTTTTGAAGTTAAAAATAAAACTCTATCACAAGGGGCAGTGTGACCAGGCTCAGCTTACGACTCTTTCTCTCCTCTATGTATGTATCAACGCTTGTCTCTACTGGAGTGGCATTTAGCAGGGGCGAGTGGATGGGAAGTGGAGTTTTATATCAATGGGTTTTGTCTCCCTGGAGGAAGGCGAAAATCCCTTTGAAGAAGGATCATATCAGGGCCGGAACAGCCTCTAAGTCTCATGTGTGCAGTCAGGTCCAGCTGTACCCAGGAGGTGGGAGCAGCACTTAGCTGGGCTGCAGCTCTAATTATAACCTCACTTCTCACCTAAGCTACTGGCTGAAGCAGCAACTTCTACAAGTGACATGCTGTTTTCTTTCTGCTTCTCCTATTTCTGGTTAGGACAAGTCAGCCTCTGTCCTCCTCTGGCCCTTGCCTTTTCAAAATGGCTGGGGAAGGAAGAGTTTATCATTCAAATTCTAGCAGAAAGCAGGCAGCAGCCACTCACACTGTAACACCAGCTAAAAAGCAGGCTGGGAGCTGAGGATCACAGTTTGAAACCAGCCAGGTAGAAAAGTCTGTGAGACTCTTTTCTCCAATCAACCACCAAAAAGCTTGAAGTGGAGCTGTGATTCAAGTGGTAGAGCAACAGCCTTGAGTGAAAAAGTTAAGGGACAGCACCCAGACCCTGAAGTCAAGCCCCAACACCACACACACACACACACACACACACACACACACACACACACACACACACACACACACACACACACACACACACACACACACCAGGCAGAAAGAAAAGTTGAGAGAATCAGAGGGGATAGAAAGCTTGGCTATCATTTAGTCTCTCTCTTTTTATAGATGGGAGACTAGAGGGTCAGAGAAAATAAATTGCACATCCATGATTACTCTTTGAACAAGAGGAAACACACAGTTCTATTTCCCCCCTCTATTACTCTTCTTTATGATATCTTCTTCAAATAAACCTGTTGAACTATCTTTCATTTTTATGTATTTATTTTTTTGGAGGTACTAGAGTTCAAACTCAAGGCTTTACACTCAGTTTGCTTACTTGGCTGGTGCTGCTCTACCAGTGAAGCAATGCCTCTAGCTCTGCTTTTTGCTGGTTAATTTAGAGAGGGAGTCTTGCAGACTTTCTGCCCAATCTGGCTTAAAAATACCAGCCTTTAGTTCTCAGCCTCTTGAGTAGCTAGGATTATAGACATGAGCCACTGACAGACAGCTCCCATTCAGCTATCGTCTAAGGAAAGAAAATATCAATCCCGGCTTTGCTATTTCTGGATATGTGGCTTTGGATGTGGCTACTTATGCATTTCCCACCTATAAAACGGGGAACAACATAATTTGGTATCACCACGTGTAACAATGCATTAATACATTTCAAGAACGTGAGCAATGTCAACCACATACAAAATGCTCAATAATGTTAGCTCTGATTTGAATATATTTGTGTATTTTTACTAAAACAATGTGTTAAAGTCTACTGCAATTAATAGTCACCCTTCACAATGTATTTTTCCATGCAGATGTGTTCATATATGGGTAAGCTTAGTTGAGTGTGCAAGTAGTGCATGAAAATTCTAAAATTTTATTTTTTATTTATTTTTTTTTTTGGGTCCGGTCGTGGGGCCTGAACTCTGGGCCTGGGCGCTGTCCTTCAGCTCTTCAGCTCAAGGCTAGCACTCTACCAGTTGAGCCACAGTGCCACTTCCAGCTTTTTTCTTTTTGCTTATGTGGTGCTGAGGAATCGAACCCAGGGCCTCGAGCATGCAAGGCAAGCGCTCTACCACTGAGCCACCTTCCCAGCCCGAAAATTCTAAAATTTTATATGGACCTTTGTATTCTCAAAGTTTGCTGGATTAGCTCTATAATTTTCTCTTGAATTCCTTAGGATTTAAAAAAAAATTATGGCCATAGGAAATAAAAGTTTGGGGGGATTTTTTTGATGGAATTAGAGTTTGAAATAAAGGCCTTGCACTTGCTGGGCAGGTAACATTTGTTTCATACTTCCAAATTGATACTTTCTCTCTCTCTTCTCTTCCTTCTTTCTTTCCTTCTTTTTTCTTTCTTTTTGTATTGAATCAAAACCAGAGGTGTGTGCCTGCTAGGCAAGTACTCTTCTTTTGAGGCACATCTACCCTGTCTCTGACTGATTTTAATTTACAAGCAGGAGTTTTCTTTAAAAAAAAATCACTGTCTTGTGATCAAGGAAGATTTTCTGCCATGTAATTGATTCACATGATTTTGTTAATTGGCTCTGAGGTCTACTATATGCTTGAAAAGAGTATATATTCTCTACTGGTTGAATGTAGACATCTACACATTTCCACTAGATCAAGCTTATTAACTACAGTTAAAATGTTTTCCCTGTGCTAAATTTCTATCTACTTGACTTATCAATGATTGAGTATTGTATGAAATTTTTGTCTTACATCAGTATCTTTGTCAGGTTTCTCCAAAAGAAAAAGAGAATAAGGAAGAGAAAACCACAACTCTAAGTTTCCCATGCCTTCCTTCCAATGGGCTTGGATCTAGAAGCTATAGAGTCTTGGTCTGGACTCTGAGTGGCTGAGTCCTCTACTCTTGTGTTTTCTGTGATTTATTTGGCCCTGGCAGGAAATGGGTCACCTCTATAGTCTTCGCCTTGCTCAGTCTGTCACTCTGGAATCTGGTCCCTCCACTTTCAGTTTATCTTACACTGAAAACAGCTCTGTTTTTCTGGTATTTAATTCTTTTGCCTTATCTAACCTCAGGCAGTAGACAGTGCTTCCTTCTTCTCATCCCCTTTTCACACTTGGTGTCTAAAATGAAAAAAAAAATACTGGGCTGGGAAGATGGCTCAGTGGTAGAGTGCTTGCCTTGCATGCATGAGGCTCTGGGTTCGATTCCTCAGCACCACATAAGCAGAAAAAATAAAAACTGGAAGTGGCGTTGTGGCTCAACTGGTAGAGTGCTAGCCTTGAGCTGAAGAGCTGAGGGACAATGCCCAGGCCCAGAGTTTAGGCCCCATGACTGGAACACCCCCCCCCCCCCCCCAAATACTGATTGATGAAAATGACTTAAATTGAAAGCATTCACCTTTCCTTCTGACTGCCATATCTTAGAACTGAATCATCTCCCCTCCCCTTCCTCCTGAATAGATGTACCCAGTGGTCTTGGAAGAGAGCCTGAGACCAAGGCTATGTCTGACACTGACTCCCCTGGTGGACACAGATGCTATTGAAACCTTGAAACTTCTCAGTCAAAATAACATTGTTCTCCAGCCACACCTCCATCTCACCCCACTTTCATGTGCCCTACCTGACTTCACTTTTTGCTTAATATCTAAAAGGACCCTAGTTGTAAGGGTCTTGCATCTTCAGCTGAATGCAAGGAGACTTGGTTGCTCTTCCTAGGATTTCTTCTAGAATAAAACCTGTTGGATTGTTGAGATCATCCTTTCTGCTCTTTTTCTTTTCTTACCACCACCAACAAAAACAACCAAGGAAGAAACCCCTAAGTCGCCATGGACCCAAGAATAGCAAGCCATTTTTTTTTTTTTAGTCGGTTGTGGGGCTTCGACTCTGGGGCTGGGGATAGCAGTCTTAAATGAGGATCTTCCCTCCACTTTTTGTTCCTCTCTTCACTTTTCAAGCCTCTCAATTGTTCCCTAGAGCTGTTCTGATCAATTCAGTAGCCACTGCTCCAAATCACTACGAAACATTTGACTATCAAGCAAATAATTATGTGATTGGTTCCATGGATGTACTGAATTTATAACTTTAGAGTATCTTAATTTAAACATAATACCCAGTCCAGAAACATTTTAGAATATACTAAAATAATTCTACCTTTCCAACTGTAAATTCATGAAACCCAAAATATGTGTGTGTGTGTGTGTGTGTGTGTGTGTGTGTGTGTGTGTGTGTGTGTGTGTGTGTGTGTGTGTGTGTGTGTAGTACCAATTCTAGGGCTTGAACTCCGGGGCTGGGTACTGTTTCTGAGATTTTTGCTTAAGGCTAGTATTTTCCCTCTTGAACCACAGTTCCATTTCTGGCTTTTTGGTAGTTAGTTTGGAGATAAGAGTCTTATAGACTTCCCTGCCTGGGTTGACTTCAAACTGTGATCCTCAGATCCTAGACAGCTAGGGTTGAAGGTGTGATGCATCAATGCCCAGCCTGAAACCCAAATACCTAAAAATATTTTTTTCACTAGGTAGCCCAGGCTGGCCTTGAGATCTTCTTACTTCAATTTCTCCAGTGCTGATATTATAGACTTACCCCAGCCTACTACCATGTTTGGATGAAACCTCAAGTTATTTTATAAAAGTAATCCTGATGAAAATTTAGCATTTCCTCTAGATTGAAATAGGCTGGTAAGTGTAGTCACTGGATTTCAAGCATTAATGTCAATATAAAACATTATTAACTATACTTATATATTTATACACATATAAATATAATATTACATGTTATATAATTATATATTCTATTTATGTAAATATATAAAATATAAAATGTATATAATGTAGTCTAACTGGACTACATTAGTTTGTCTCTATAGTGTGTTAATATGTTAAATTCAATATTTTATATATATATATATATAATCTAATTTACTTATGTAATGAAGATAAAATCTCTAAATTTTAATCTATATTTAAATAGAATATAAAAGCAAGTTAACTAACCAAAAAGTCATATATGATGAAAGGAAGTAAACAATAGATATCTTGTGTGTGTTCTTGGCCTTTTAGATACTTTTGAATCATTTTTAGCTTGCTTCTGTGTTCATTTGAAATATCATCCCTGTAAATGATTTTACACCTAAGTTTTTATGTTTGCATCTTGGTATAAAAACAACTCTTTTTCCAAGAATTCCTCTTCTTTATGTTTCTCAAAGGCATTTTGAAGCTGTTGGTTGTGACTTCTCACTTACTCATCTGTGCAAAGAT